GTCTTCTCCATGGTTATGTCCAGACTTGCCGTCGCTTCCGCCAATTCCCGCTCTCATGAGTCCTTGCTCGTCGCTCAATAGCGTCAGCAGCCCAAAGATGACGGGCACGTTGTTGTCCAGTTGCAGCCTCATGAGTCCGTGGCTGACTGCGTCGGCAATGTACTCAAAGTGCATAGTCTCTCCCTTGATAAGCACGCCAATGGCGATTATAGCGTCAAACGGCTGGTTGGATACTTTGGCAGCTGACTGTCCGGTGAGCGCCGTCAGATCGGATGTCGAGCCAAGAAGGTCGGCTGCTGCGCCTACGACGCCTGTGTTGGAGGATTGGATCTGGGATGCTGAGTATAGTCTGTTGATTTGACTGTTAGCTTCAACTTTCCTTCCTTTTTTTTCTCCATGATCCACATACTGCTTAACAGCATACGGCAGCTCGTAGCTCCCAGGCACATCCTGCACAACGATATTCTCATCCTTGACACCCGCTTCCCTCAGCTTCTTCCTTGTGCCCTCGAGCAGTGCATCAATAATCTTGGTGTTCCATCGTGCGTGAACGATACCAATGCGCAGTCCAGAACCTGTTCGTATCTCGTCAGCATGGAGCTCCTGAGGGCGGGTGAAGGATGTAGTGGTGGTGGGGGCGGGGTTGGCATTGGCATTCGAGAGATACGGACCATCGTATGTCTTTGGCGCGCCGGGACCTTTGAGGGATGCCATGGTAAAATTCCGTATATATCCGATTGTATGCAGCAGAAGTTTAGAGGAGGAAGAAGTATGCGCAGGTAGCTCTGGAACCGTCGGGGTATCGTAAGCTTGGCCTTGAGAGCGGGTTCAAGGATGCAGGAACCGGCGCACTACCATGAGGCTGCCCCGCAACCGAGAGACAGGGATCCCCAATTCTGACAATGCTGTCATCGGACCAGGGGGGTGAAACGCCGCGATGTGACTAGACCCTCACCGACCCATGCGGGCACCCACATCACCCTCCCATACACGCAATCAATACCATGTGGTACCACATATGAGCAAAAGGAATACAAGTAATGAAGAGATATTGTGTTCATTTCGTCTAGTACCACAAGCTGCGCAAAACGCATCGCTCTGCATCCTAGATATCGTAAAATTCAATGCCATACACATGAGCTGCGTCCAGAGCTTCCATTCATAAATCCCACATCTAGTCCAAATCCCAAATGATACATAGCTTCTCTAAGCCCAGAGAACGCCATGTAAACTACACAAACGCTTGCTTACTCGACAGTCACAGACTTGGCAAGGTTACGGGGCATGTCAACGTTGACGCCCTCGGCAACTGCCATCCAGTATGACATGAGTTGCAGAGGAATGACGTTGATGAGACCCTGAAGAACATCGACGTTCTTGGGTACCTCAATCTTGTCAGTCTTGTCAGCAGGGAACTCGGGATCGTTCTCGTTGCAGATGATGATTGGACGACCGCTACGGGCAATGACTTGCTGGTATGCGTTGAGCGACTTGGCAAAGATGTCGTCTCGGGTCAGGATCATGACAATGGGGAGGTTCTCGTCGACCAGAGCCAAGACACCGTGCTTGAGCTCTCCAGACATGACAGCCTCGCAGTGGAGGTATGAGATTTCCTTGATCTTCAGGGCACCCTCAAGCGCGGTGGCGTGCTGAGAGCCACGTCCGAGCAGGAGCAGAGACTTCTGGTTCTTGAACCTCTCGCAGAGCTTCTTGATAGGCTGGTCGAGCTTGAGCACCTCCTTGAACTGGTCAGAGATCTTGCCAAGACCCTCGACAATCTCCTCCCGCCTCTTCTGCTTCGAGGCACGGTCCTCACTGAGCGATAGGGCAAACATGACCATGCAGACGAACTGCGAGGTGTAGGCCTTGGTGGAGGCAACACCGATTTCGGGACCGGCGTTGATGTGGACACCGCAGTGGGTGAGGAGGGAGATGGAGGAACCGACAGTGTTGACAATACCAACAGTCAGGGCACCACGCTCCAAGCAGTAGCGGAGAGCACCGAGCGAGTCGGCAGTCTCACCGGATTGCGAGACGAAGACGCAAGTGTCGTCACGGAAGACGGGTGCTTGGCGGTCGAGGAAGTCAGAGGCCAACTCAACGGCAATGGGGATCTCGGTAAGCTCCTCAAAGACACCACGAACAGCCATACAGGAGTGGTAAGAAGTACCGCAGGCAATGAAAATGATCCTCCTGCATCGCCTGATGGTGGAGATGTACTGGCGGAGACCACCAAGTGTGACGGTCTTGTTGACAGGGTCGAGACGTCCACGCATGGCGTTAACGACAGACTCGGGCTGCTCGAAAATCTCCTTTTGCATGAAATGGTCGAAGCGGCCCTTCATGATCTCCTGGAGCTGGATCTCGAGGGTCTGAATGGTACGGACGTTGGAGGATCCGTCATCCTTGTGCAGGCGGTGAATGTTCAGCGAGCCCTCGTGGATGTGTGCAATGTCGTCATCCTCGAGGTACAGGACCTTCTTGGTGTGCTCGACAATGGAAGATGGGTCGGAGGAGAGGAAGAACTCGGTGGGCATTGGGGCACCGTCGTCCGAGAGGAAAGCGCGAGATTGCGATCGGTGGAGGAGCGACTTGTCTGGGGGAGCGAGCAAGTTGTTCGACTTCTTCAAGGCAACGTTGTGGGCAGCGCTCTCGGCGGGGAGAGCAGCACCCTCGTCGTTGTACTCGACATCGACAAAGTCGACCTTCATCTTCTTCTGTGTCCGTACACCAATGACAAGGGGAGAACCCTTGCGGGCAGCCACAACCTCATGGGGGTAGTGGACAGACTTGACAAGGAGACCAAAAGCACCCTGGAGCTCCTTGATGACAGCCTTGACGAGCGATGGGAAGCTCAGGTCTGGGTGCTCGTTGTAGATGTACTTTGTGAGCTTGGCAATAGCCTCAGTATCCGTCTCCGTCTCGAACTTGAAGCCCTTGCTCTCGAGCAGGGTCTTGAGTTCCTTGTAGTTTGTGATGATACCGTTGTGGACGACGGAGAACTCCCAGTTGGGGTCAGACCTGGAGGTGGGGGCGTCAGCACGAGCAGAGTGTAGTGGCGGGCCTGAAAGGGGTGCATTGAGCAGCCAGACAAGACAAACATACCTGTGGGGATGGCAGTTGACACGCGAGGGGGGACCGTGGGTCGCCCATCGTGTGTGGGCGATACCGGCGTGCGAGTCAAAGACCTTTCCGAGGTCGAAGTTCTGCTCCTCGACGAGCTTCTTGAGAGAGGCGACCTTGCCAACCTCCTTGACGGCGTAGACCTCGTTCTTCTTGTCACCGTCGACAGCGAGACCGGCGGAGTCGTAGCCGCGGTATTCTAGGCGTTGCAGACCTGGACAGGGAGGAAAAAAGCAAAAGGTCAGCTGTCGTCATTGTGAAACCCCGCCGTCCTCAACAGAACCAGACCCGTAGGCAGAGAGCTAGTGAGGACAGTGAATTGGGTGTGCCACTTACCATTGATCAGTGTGTCGAGAATGTACTTCCTGTCCTTCTCCACCAGGTAGTTGATGTAACCGAAGATTCCGCTGTTGAGGGTAGAGTGGTCAGCGGGCAATGTTGCATTGATTCCATCGATATGGTCTCTCTCTCTGTGTGTATTCTCTGCGTGTGCGTGTGCTGTGGTGGTCTACAGCTGCAGGGCGGGGGCAGTGGGAACTTACCACATGGCGAAGAAACGAAAGAGGGGAGTCGATTACAAATGGGAAGCGATTGTAGGGTTGTCGGTGGGGGTGAATTGGCAGCAGGGACAAGATAACGGGGAGGGGGGAAGGGGATGGTATGGACAGGATATGTGAGGAGAGAAAAGAGCGGTGGTGTGTTTGACTTATACGTCTCAAGCCAAGCACTGAGCAGCATGCCCCCAGCGGCGCCCTTGTCCACTCCACCTGGCTAGTCTCGCCAATGCAGCGTATCGCACCCACCCGTAGCGCCGCTCTACCACGCCTGAAGCTCGTATACTCGACGAGCCTTGCGCAACGGACTGACGATGCACGCCCGTCCCTCGTCGCCCGTCATGGGCCCTGTCCCATCGGGTTCCGCGATGGTTGCAGCGGCCAATGGGTGCACAGTCACCCCGTTGCCGTTCCTGGATCGATCGCCCGCCATACCCATCGCTGCTCAGGGACCGCGAGGCGCAGCACCTCCAAAATAGAAACACTAACTCAACACTCGACCATTTTGTAAATCGATATGCTGGTAAATTCTCTGCTCAATGCTACTCAATACATTCTGTCCGTGGCCAATCCCCCAAACTGGGGACTGCTTACGGGAAGCATTTCTAATCCTGTAGTAAGGCAATTGCTCGCCAATACAACCCCCCCTATACACGACTCCTACATGCTACGTCAGCAGTACCGGGTTGCAGCTCCCGACACAGAGCTAAGCACGACGCATCAATCGGCCTGTCAATCACGTTTGATTCTTTGTTTGCTCGAGACTCTGTGTGCTGTGCTGGTACCGCGTGCATACCTACCTACATATGTATATGTATGTACGGTATATGCGTACAGAAAAAACATAAACAAACAACAAAACAAAAAAGCCCAATGCAAGCAAATAAACAAAGTGGGAACTGCCCTCAGGCTTCATGTCCCACTAACGGCGGAGCTCTACCCGCGCTCCAGAGCTCTCCACTCACCCATGACTGTTTTGGATAGTAAGTATGTACGTCCATCAGACGGTGAAGAGAAAACCACCAACCCATCTGCCTCTCCAGCACCCTGCATGTCCGGCCGGCAAGCCGCGCGCGAACCAGAAGCCGTAAAACAAACCCCCAAAAGCAAAAAAAAACAGCACCACGTACTGCAAGACTTGCAAAGAGAAAAAAACGCCACTGGGCGTTATTGTCTTACCCCGCCACAGGGTCGAATCATCAGCTCCGACCCTCAACGTGCCCCCCAGCTGAACCCAACCCAACCCATTTCCCCCGTTGAGCCCAGTTTTGGCAGCAAACACGGTGAGAAATTGGCGACTTTTTGCCCATATTGCCAACAATCTCAAAGTTGCCTCTTCGCGTCTAGCGCTGCTAGCAAAGTCCGCTGCACGAGTGTATGCGATGAGCTAGACGAGGAAGGCGTGCCGGGTGAGGTGGGGGGAGGAGAATAGGTTGCGAGGGGAGCGGATGGGGAGGGGGGAGGAGGAGGAGGAGGGGGAAATGCCAGACCGGCTCTTTTTCCACATGGTCCCAACCAGAACCAGCGGGCGTGTCTCTGCTCTTCCCCCCCCCCCCCATCCACTCAATCAGATCGTTTCCCCTTTGTGCTTCGCAAAATACTATTGATCCAGCAAAGCCTGGCTTTGCCAAAGAGGCCACATTTCCCTTCTTTCTTCTTTTTCTTTCCTCTGACTGACCGCCTTTGACCACCCCCGCCCCGCCCCGCCAGCCAGCCCCAGCCCAGTTTCGCCTCTCTCCCTCTCTCTCTCTCTCTTACCCATCTTACAATCCATCTTTTCGTCAGAAAAACCAGTGGCGCAATTCATACTTTTCAGCCGCACGCCATTTCTCAATCTCACATGCTTCGCTCACTCTATCTCACTCTATCTCACCCATCATTTTTTTCTTGGCACCCAACCTTTTAGTCTCAGCCTTGCAAGTGCAAGCCTTCTTTCTCAATAAAGTTTAGCAATCCTGATTCTTCTCCTCCCCCTCCCCTCCCCTTCAACTCACGTTCCTATATGTATTTAAAATCTAACATCTTCGATCTTATTTTTATTATTATTATTATTCATCATCTTCGATCTTTTCCTGCCATGCTGTTTGCTACTTTAAACCCTTCCCCCTCCCCACTTTTACCAGAAAAAAACCCCCTTCCCCGCTAAATCCTCGTATTTTTTATTGCCCTTTTCTCATGAGCCGGTTTTTCTTACTATTCCATGAGTAAGAGATATGAGAGAGTGAGGCTGGGGGGGTTTTGTTAGTGTAGCCTTGTAGGTTCAAGTCGGGATATACTCGGACGGAATATTCCTCGGACGAGGGATAAAAAGTGTAGTAGTATAAGGTGGGATAATAAGATGACTACCACGTGACTTTTTGGTTTGTTTGCTTGGTTGGAAAGTTTGGCTGCTTGCACGTGACTGGTTTTGTGAATACGATGTACGAGTATCTTCTCCTTCTATGGGAATGGAACGTGAGACTTTATCCAATGAATACACAAAACGGAGGAAAAGAACAAGTCGATGAGACTGCCACATTCGCATCCTAATTACCAATAGCCAAAAAAAAGAGCCAATCCACATATAACTCTGTCACTCTATCCATACAAAAATGCACACATACCAATTTATCGTTACATACAAAATAATCCCTTATCAAACCCCAACAAACTCCCCCTTCCACCTTTGCATGAGAACCTCAAAATTTGCATGTTCCCCGTATCGCTGTAAATGCCATGACGCGTGATGCAAAACTTGAACTTCGTTCTCAAAGGGAAAAAAAGCAAGGGTAAAGAATAACGTGGCGGGTAGCAAAAAAAAAACAGTGTGAAAAAAAAGAGTTGGAAACAGTGGCAGTCAACTACTTGCTATCACAGTACCCAGGGGCCTTGGGTGCTCCACCCTGGATCCAACTCTCGACGGTAAGGGTGGTTGTGTATACCATGCTGATTGCACCGACGATGCAGAGCAGGACATCCAAAGCGCGAGCGGTAGTTGTGCGGGCGACGGCACGGTAATGAAGCATAGGCTGTATTGTTTCGTTAGTCAAGAACCTCTGACAAGATGCAGTGTACTTTAGAAGGGAAGAACTTACAGGATAAATAAACACAAGCGGGATACACGCAAAGCTGCCTACAAGACTAACAAACTTATCCAGATCGCCCGCACCAGCCCACGCCAGCGTCGCACAAACGAGCACCATGAAGAAGCGGAAAAAATTCTTCTTCCACTTGACATAGGGGTTGTACTTGCCGGTGCGACTGAACAATTGTTGACTGGTGATTTCAATCGCAGGGTAGATTTGCAGCGGGGTGGAAAGCAAGATAGCCAGCGAGTAGATAAACTGCACGCCATTGACGAATTTGTTGTCTTGGGGCATATTCAGCAGGACGACAGTCTTCGTCTTGGAACCGAACGCGGCATAGGAAAGGGCACCGGCGCTGAGGAACACAACGGTGATGATGATCATGACGCCACCGAGTACCTTGGGGAATTTCTTGGGATCCTTCATGCCAGTCTGGATGGGGATGATGAGACCGATGCCTTCAAAGGTGAAGATTGCCGTGCCGATGAACAAAGTCCAGTCCTTGGCGTTGAAGTTGGCAATGTCGGAGATGCCACCTTGATCCACAATGGTAAAGATATCGTAGTAGTAGAGGTATACGAGACCCATGAGGATGAAGAGGTCGGCCACCAGCGCTAGTTTCTGGATGTGATTGATGTTGCGGTAAAGAGACAAGGGCAGGAAAATGGCCATTTGCATCATGATCATGTATTTGATGTCGATGAAGGTTTTACAGTTTGACACGGCGAGGACAAAGGCTTGCAGGTTCTCGGATACGAAGACAATGTAGGCGGAGGAGAAACCGATTTGTGAGACGACGAGGGAGGAGTTGATCATGTTGCGCATCCAGTTGCCGTACAGATGGAAGCCCATGTCTCCGAAAGAGTGTTCGACGGCGAGACGGGTAGAGACGAGAAGAACGAAGCACGTGTAGGAGAGACCGGCTACTGCGAGAAGTACGAGGTTGGAGAAGACCATGCCACCGTTGAGGAAGGCTCGTGGCAGGAAGAGTACACCGGTACCGACAAACGACTTGAGGAGAAGCAAAGCCGCACCGGTGGGAGAACCTGTACCGGTCTTCTTGGGCTTGCGTCTCCTGCGCTTCCCTGGCGTAAGAAGGGCACTCGACTCGCCATACTCTCTGTCTTCGTCCTCGCTCTGCGCACCAGAGTCCAGAGCATCAGACGAAAAGTACTCATCAGGTCCTAGCACCTCGTCGTCCTCTTCCAAAGACTCACCAGCAAAGTGGCCGTACAGAGTAAGGAACTCGAGAAAGTTGCTGGTAAAGACTGGGGGCTGCTGCCGAGACTGCTGGACAGTACCGTATCCAGCCGGGCCGGGTGCGGGCGAAGGGCTACCCGCGGCTCTGCGAATGTAGTTGCGTCGGAAACCACCTGGCTGTCGGATCGAGTCAATGTCGAGCGCCTCGTCCTCAGGCCTGCGACGAGGCCCGTGGAAGCTCTTGCTGCGCTGCATCTTGCCCTGCTCCTCGGCCTGCTGCTGCTCGCTCCACCTGTAGATCTGTCGCGTAATATCACCGCCCTGAAGCTGCAGACTGGAAAACTGCTCCTCGTCATCTTCAGGTCGCATGCCGGTCGACTGTGCATCGTCGTCGCCTATCTGGCCGCGGTTGGAGCGGCTAGGCGAGGCATAGTGTCCGACGAGATGGCGACGGACAATCTCGGGGTCTTCGTAGGGAACAGGGGAGCGGCCACGGCCGTCGAACGAGCCATAGTGACTAGGAGGGCCGCGAGGGGCGGCTTCCTGGGCGGGAGAGAGGGGACGTATCGGAGGCGTGCCGAATCGTGGAGGAGAGTTGCCCAACGATTCCCTCAGTGCCGACGAGAGGTTCGACTCGGATGGCCCAGGAAGCGACGAGTGCGGGTCTGCGCGTCCAGGCAGAGGTGTTTGTATTGACGGCGAGTTTGCAGTCTGCGAGGGCGTGGGTATTTGGCGTATGGCTGGCGAGCCGTTGGGCAGAGAGGGAATCGATGAACCCAGCCTTGCCGTCGAGCTTGCGCGAATGGATTGGGCCTCGGCTGGAGAGCTTTGGCGAGATGCTCGTGCAGAAGACGACGACGCTGCGGGCGGATTCGAGGACGAGGAACGGTCTGCCGCCATTTTGGGTCGCGTCGTGTATCGAGAGAGGATCGAGGCAGAACGGGTTGCGATAACAAAAGTAGGAAGCTTCGCTTATCTGCCTCTTCTGGTGCAAGTATGCAAGGCCGCGATACAGGGGACCTGCAGATGTACCTTGGCGATGCAGACGGACTTTGGATGCGTGTCTGCGCGTGAATTGCAGGCAAAACGCGAAAAGTGTCGAGTCGATGTGGACGAGACGGAGGGCAAGACAGCAAGACAAGAGGCACGCCAGCACAACGAGAGGACTCAGAAGGACGGACTGGTCCGACGGTGATTGTCTATGCCGAGCGGGAGGCTGAGGTCATTTGGCCGAGGCGTGGGGCGCGGGATGACCATATCACGGCCTCCCTGCATGTTCCCCAACGGTGAATGAGGCTAAGGCGCTAACTGAGGCTACGCATTCCTCCCCCATGGCCAATGACTTCATGCTTGCATCCTACGCCCGCTGGCTGGCTTTGTTTTCTGCGAACATACATAGTTGCGCTATCAGCACTCTTCCAGCCTAGCCACCGCTGCTCCTTTCCGTCCGGCAGTCTTCCCGTCTGGTCGTCTCAACAGTCTTGTGACGATACATACCTACAAGAGCACCATCGGCGGATCCCGCGCCTGCGCTCTGACCCCCGTCGACGTAACCATCCACACGTGCCCGGAACCAGGTTTTACACATGCCTGGACCATGACCGATGCAGACAATGCCAACAACGAACTGACTAGACGCCCATTGCCCAGGGCACGCTCAAACTTTGCTGCTCGTACTGCCCGTGACGACACGGAGCGACTGCATCGCCGCTCTTTTGCCCAGCAGTCACCCCCGGCATCACCACCGACTGAGGGCACTCCGCTCCTAGCCGGCAGCGGACAGCAGCATGCCAATAGCTTGGATGGCTCGCAAGAGACTGAACATCAACAGCGAGGTGTAGGCGGATGGTTCTCTAACTTGTTCACTGCATCTCGAAAAGCCTCTGGCCAGGAACCCGCAAGTCATGGCAAGACACCCCCCATGACCGAGTCCTCCAAACCACGGCCTGGGGCTTTCCCCAGACCCGTTGGAGGCACAGACAAGCTAGGCACCTTTGCCGGCGTCTTCGTCCCCGTCACCCTCAATGTCTTGTCCATTTTGATGTTTCTGCGATTTGGCTTCCTCCTGGGTCAGGCTGGACTCGTTGGCATAATGGCCATGTTGATTGCCGCTTATGCCATAAATCTCTTGACTACCCTGAGCATTTCTGCAATCGCTACCAACGGCACCGTCAGGGGCGGAGGCGCCTACTACCTCATCTCGAGAAGTCTGGGACCAGAGTTTGGGGGAAGTATCGGTATCGTCTACTACCTTGGCTCCGTCTTCAATACCTCTCTAAACGCCGTCGGCTTGATCGACTGTCTCATTGAGAACTTTGGGACCCATGGAGGTAACATGGCAGAGTGGATGCCCCAGAGCTATTGGTGGCAGTTCTTATGGGCTACCATCGTCTTAGTCGCATCTACCATCATTTGTCTAGCTGGTAGTGGGCTGTTTGCACGTTGTAGCAATGGACTGCTAGTCGTTCTGCTTATCGCGACCATCAGCATTCCCCTCTCAGCCGTAGCCTTGCCTCCGTTTGCTGAGCCCAAGGAGCATGTTGTGTTTACAGGCCTTAGTATGGACACCTTTCGTCAGAACCTGCTTCCTCACTTCACCCGCGGCGCGGCAGGCAGTGTAATCCATCACCGTGAAAATTTCCAAGACCTCTTCGGTATTCTCTTCCCTGCCACAGGAGGCATTCTCGCTGGTGCGAGCATGAGCGGAGACTTGAAGCACCCCAGTAAAGCCATCCCAAAGGGCACCCTGTACGGCATAGGGTTGACCTTTGTCCTATACACCCTTGTCATTTTTGCCATGGCGGCATCCGTAACCCGCGAGACCCTCTACAGTAATACCAATGTTATTCAACTAACCAACATTTCTGGTGCCGTCATTCTTGCTGGCGAGATGGCGACATCATTGTTTTCAGTACTCATGGGTGTTATTGGTTCCTCCAAGCTCTTGCAAGCTCTTTCTCGAGATCATCTTATTCCAGGACTTTCATTGTTTGGTCAAGGTACCAAGAAATCGGATGAAGTACGTTCTCCCACTTGGACAACGAACATATACTCCTGATATCTAACCCATCACAGCCAATCTACGCTATCGTAATCACCTATGTCATTGCCCAAATCACCATGTTTGCCGACATCAACCAAATTGCATCCTTCATCACAATGACAGTATGTCTGCTTACGAATATATCTTATACTTCTAGTTTCATAACCTAATCATCTCTAGTATCTCATGACATTCCTTGTCACCAACTTGGCTTGTTTCTTGCTTAGAATTGGATCTGCCCCAAATTTTCGGCCTTCGTTTCACCATTTCAGCTGGCAGACAGCTGCGATGGGAACTGTTGCATGCGGAGCAACTATGTTCTTTGTTGATGGCTTCTATGCTTCCGGCTGCGTAGGTCTGTTGATGGTCCTTTTCCTCTTGATCCATTACACAACGCCTCCAAAGCCCTGGGGAGACGTCAGTCAAAATCTCATCTTCCATCAGGTTCGAAAATACCTACTCCGTCTGCGTCAAGAACATGTCAAGTTCTGGAGACCACAAATTCTGCTCCTAGTCAATGATCCAAGGCGGCAGTATAAATTGATTCAGTTTTGCAACTCTCTGAAGAAAGGAGGCCTCTTTGTCCTAGGACATGTCATTGTCTCCGATAACTTTGGCGAAGCTGTGCCCGAGGCCAGACGGCAACAACAGTCTTGGACAAAGTATATTGATTTCTCCAGGATCAAAGCGTTTGTGAATATCACTATCTCACCTACCATAGAGTGGGGTGCTCGCAACATTGTACTCGGTGCAGGTTTGGGTGGCATGAGACCAAACATTGTCGTCATGGGTTTCTACAATTTGCCCGAGCTGAGGCAAGCACAGCCATCAGTGGGAATCCCATCACCTCAGCCCTCACGACCTACTAGCAAGGCTGCAAACCACCCCATATCTCGGAAGGCTATACAAGCAGCAGCCAGATGCCGTGTGACTGGTAACACACACAGTGCGCTCCCTACTGACGCCATGAAGCCAGAAAATGCAATTGCAATTCGCAGCTATGTCACCATCATAGAAGACCTCATTACGAGGCTCCAAGCAAACGTTGCCATAGCCAAGGGCTTTCAAGAGCTTGAGGTACCACCCGCAAAGCCAACAACAAAGCAAAAAACGCTCAATTTGCTCGGCTTGGGTGAAATTGATATTGACGACCCGTCCAAGGAATACATTGATCTTTGGCCGATCCAGATGTCAGCAGAGATTGCCACTACTGGCGATGAACCGCTTCGGAAGAACGTTCTAACAACCAACTTTGACACATATACACTCATCCTCCAGCTAGGTTGTATCTTACACACTGTGCCGTCGTGGAAACGCATATACAAGCTGAGGGTATGTGTCTTCGTCGAATATGAGACAGATGTGGAAGAGGAGCGAGGGCGTGTTTCCACCTTGTTGCGCAATCTACGTATCGAGGCCGAGGTCCACGTCTTTTGGCTATCATCTGGAGACTTGGGAATGTACGAGGTCATCATCAACGGGCGCGACGAAGGAGACTTTGACCAGACTGGGCGAGATATCGATTACTCTCTCGAAGATGAGCGCTGGTGGCAAGACATCAAGCGGCTTCGCCAACCGGAGGGTCTGACTGCCAGTCAGGAATTGGAGCAGACGGTCGACATTCTTGAAGCTGTCACAAGCTGGCCAATTGCTTCGTTTCAACATGGCAGGCAAGATGCTAACCCGAAACGCTTCTCTGCACTAAGAAAGATGTTACGAAAGGCTAAGCGCAGGTCGTCAGTTGGAGAAAGTGGTAGATTTACAATGCGGAGTCAGAGGTTGCCTGCCGCTCTACTTGAGGACAGTGACAGTGATACGCAACCATCCATCAATGCAGAACTTGAGCGAGAAGATGACGATGCTGATGACGAGGGCGTAGCGTCAGATAGCGAAGCCGTGGTCAGCGGCAGTAACTTCGACGAATACGATCTGGACGCATCAAGTGACGAGGACAATCAAGATGGCCCTACCACGTCGCTGCGACGCAGAAAAACAGCACCAAGCACTTCATTCTTCTCCCGCCAGCTCGACCTCCGCAAGGCTATCTGGAAAGGCAACCGCAAAGACGCCTCTTCACAAGGCGAAGACAGACCAACCTCACAATCTGTAACGCCTCTCAAACCCCATTCCAACGCCAGCGCTTCCGATACCGCCATCCTCCGAGCTGAAAAGCATCCAAAATCCCACAGCGTAGCCAGCTCCTCCTCCCAGATCTCTGGCTCCTCCCACCCAAACCCTCCAACCATCGCTCCCCCCATCCGCCGCCAATCTCTCCCAAAATTCACATCGAACCCCACCCCCCGCGCCGCCGTCTCCACAGAAGAAGACGCCCGAGGCCCCTCCATCATGTTCGTCGATACCCCCAAACCCAACTTAGCACCCACCGAAAACCCACTCGACACAACCTCTTCTTCCGCCGTCCAAACAAGCACCCTCCCACCCCCTTCCTCCACCCACCCCGCATCCACCTGCCAACCACCCCCTACCCAACCCGGCACCAGCACAACCCCCTCTCTCGCCTCAGGCTTCCCAACCCACCAATCCCTACCCCTATCCTTCAACGACCTCCCTTGCCGCGCCCAGCACCTCATCCTAAACGAACTCATGCAACGCCATAGTTCGAATACAGCTGTTATTTTCACAACGCTGCCGAGTCCACTACAAGGCACGTGTGAAAGTGAAGCGGAAAGCGTAAAGTATATTAGTGATTTGGAAGTCTTGTGTCAGGGGTTGCCGCCTACGCTTTTGGTGCATAGTAATAGTATGACTGTTACTATGAATTTGTGAAGAAACTGCTGCGGGAGAGAGGAGGAGTTTTGGGGGTGTGAAAACGTAGTATGGGATTAAATGGTTATTTTAATTTTTGCTGCATATCCCCCTTGATGTGCGGGGAAAGTAAAAAGAGATATTATTTTTTTGAGGGGCTACTCGCTATCATCACTACTTGAATCTTCTTTCTTTTCCTCCTCTTCGACTTCGTCGTCGTCATCATCCGGTGTACCCGTCATGGGAAAAGCTTTTAAACACGTGATTCGCGTGCCTGTAGAATACGAGCCTAGTAGTTTTCCAACCTGGGGTGCTGAGAAGCCCTTTTTACTTTCTCCGTCTTGCTCGGCCTGGCTGTCGAGATCGGAGGTGTTTAGTGCCCAGAGACGCACTGTGCCATCGCTGGACGCGGTGACGATGACACAGGTAGATTGTGAAAGTGGTAAGATTTCAAAGTCTTTTACTCGTCCCGTTAGTCCTGCGGCTGGACCACCGATTTGGGCGAGGAGTTTGGCTTCTGGGATATCTTGCTTTGGTTTCCCTGCTTTGGCATCGTCTTCGTTGGAGGTAGTTTTGCTGGTGTCGTAGACGAGTACGCGGCCGTCTTCCGTGGAAACGAGGAGAATACTTTCTCTCTGCATCGTCTTAGGCAGATACATTATCTGGTGAATTTTTGATCTGGGCTCTGGTGCGATTTTGGCCTTGGGTTTGGAATCGATGGTGAAAACGACGAGTGCGCGGTCGAATCCGACTGCGAATTCCTCGCCTTCTGGATCCCACAGTACGCGTCGGGCTTCGCCAGAGGAAAAGCGACCTTCGCCTACGGCACCCAGGATGTTGCGGTCAAAGTTAAGGACGCCGGCTTTTTTGCCGGTAACAAGATTCCATAGGCGCATGCATTTTTCGCCTTTGCCGACGCTGAGCATGAGTTTCATGCTGGGGTGCACGGCAAAGTCGTTGATACCGGAGGGAACTTCGCCAGGGCCCGCGGTGTCGCCGCTGGGTCGGCCTTGGGGTTTGGGTATTGGGGCTTTGATGGTTGAGAGAGCGGTCCAGTCACGTGTTCTTGTAATAGCAATGGTGCTGTCTTCGGCTGAGCTCAGGAGCTTGCTTCTTGTGGGGAAGTAGAGTGCTGTAATGTTAGAGGAGTGGTGGAGGAGGGATCCGAGTTCCTTGTTTTTGGGGTTCTCGGTGATGGAGCCGCCGTTGAGGGAAGGGAGTTTGGGTCGGTTTTTTGAAGGCGGTGCTGTTGAAATTGAGTACAAATTTATGCGCTCGTCTGTGCTGCCGGTTGCGAGCGTGATTTTGGAGGTTTCGTCGGACAGGGGAGAGAGCGCCATGCAGCGGATGGCGGATGCATGGGCGTTGAAGAGAAAAGTGTCGGTAAAGTCAACTTTTGGAGCGTCGGATTCTGGGGCTGAGGCATCGTCTTGGCCAGTAAGGAGGGTACTTGGGATAGACGCTGCAAAGCCATGGAGAACTCTTTCGTAAGACCCAGTAATTACTTGGATGGTTGTTGTGTCTGGAATCGCATTGCCATTCTCTGCAACGGTCTGCACTTCGGTGGCTTCCTCTACTGCAAGCTCCTTGAATTTGGATGCAACATCGTTTTTCCTGCTCTTCAAGGCCTTGGCAGCAGCAGCGGTCTCGCCGTTCTCTCTCTTCCTCTTGACCATTGTGGATTATGTGTTTCTTTTGCTGGCGTTGCTGTTGTTGTTGCTTCTCCGCGCGCTGGTGTCCAAGATCCAGAAGTTTTTTGATGCAGCAAGCCGGGCTAGTCCCAAAACAGCATGGTGCCATCCGCGGAGACCTATTGGGCCTAAGCTAGGCAGGGCTTATCGCCCCAACCCTGCAATGCGGCGCGCAACAGCGAAAGCGGGTGCTCTTTCCCTCACGTTCTCGCAAGTCCCGCGCATCAAGCCCAGTATATCGCATACCACCTTTTCATCAACCAACGCGACCACCATCCCCCATAATTCATCACAACGGCGGCACTCGTGGATAACGGATGTCGGCCTCCGTTAGTCGGCCTTCATATGTCCCTCGACAGTTTACGGGAAACCCTACGCCAGGAGAAGACAAATGAAGCCGCGTAAGTCATGCTCGACAACTGTGCATCGCGTTTGCCATTTGAGCGATAATATCGATCAAATGCGGCAATGCGACACCGAAAAATCGCTCCGTTTATTTTGATAGCGCGTTGTTGTGGTGTGGTGCTAATGTCATGTTTCCAGACTCGCATCCACGACGTTGCAGCGCCATTTCCGGGCTCTCTGGAAGGTAACAGGCTGCTGCAATGCCACTCTGAACGGGCACCAGCCCAGACCAGAGGACTTCGTCTACAACGAACCAGACGAAGACGAACTGCGTTTTCTCGAAGAAAACGACATTTCAAAGTAAGATGCCTCTCCCCCTGCATTGTCGCTGTACTGTCGCTACAGTTACTGTTGTTGTTCGCGTCGTCGCTGCTGCCCCCCAATCTGCTAACACGGTCGCGTCTCTAGAGGTCGACGCTTCAACGATGCATCTTTACCCTACCCCGTGGCCCACACGGATACTCAAACAACGCCCTCTAGCACACTACCATTCCTGAATCCCACCAAATCAGTCTTCGCAAAATCATCGCCGTCCTCAGCCGTCGGTACCCCTGGCCTTGAGGATCAACTGCGCGCTGCCTCTGCCTCGCCCTCTGATGCAATCCAACCCAAGAACATAGTCGACGCATCAATGCCAAGCGACACTATTAATGTTGTTCCTCGGGTAAAGACACCGCATGTAAAAACGCCCCCTGCGGAAGAGGAGGAAACGAAAAAGGTCAACCTTGAAGCAGCCGATGCTGTCCAGGATGCACGAGATCAGAACGATTCTGCCGCCGATAGCCCTGCTGCAGACCCCAAGGATGTCGCCCCGCCAATGGACGAAGATGTAGATGCTTCGGCAACCGAAGACCAGCCCAAGTCACCACAGGTCGTACATCTGCCACCGAAAGAGGAGCAAGAAGCCAGGCTGCAGGATACGGAAAAGAGGCTGAGCAAGGCTGCTGAAAAGGAACGAAAGGAAGAAGAACGCCTTGCCAACCTCCCCACACATACATCCATTGATGTGTCCTCGCCATCATCAACTGTCGGACCGTACTCTCAAGCAACACCACATGCTCAACATCACTCTCCCGACACCAGCCCAGACATGGAAGCCTACAAGGAACGCAACAATGTACCGCTACCAGACGACGATGTCCTCGACCCCGCTGCTCAACAAGTCAAGGAAGACCATGAGCGTGCGCTGCAGAAACGAATGACGGAAGCAAGGAAACATGCTCGAGCACGTGAAGAGGACTCTCCCACACCCGACATCGAAAAGCAGCTAGAAGATGAGCAAGCAATACGCATAGCGAGAGACGGAAAGAGCCGCTTAGGCGAATCACAGCCCGGAAGCGACGTGCATTCGTTGACCGAGGGTATCGACCATGTTTCACGCAATAATGTTCCAGACACGGACCAGTCGACTGAGTGGAAGACTGCCCAAGACAATGCGGTTGACTCGTTGCCAACGCCAGCTACGGTCGCTGCGGAACCTTCGGCCCTGGACCGTGACAATGCCGATCGCAGAAACAGCCAATCGCAACCTATTTCCGCTACTGTTGATCACCCCACACCCCCTGCTGACGTGGATACCGAGATGCGTGATGCACCGGCGACAGACACGCGGGGTGCAACCTCACCCCAACGGCACAACTCTCACAACGACCGTATGACCACCCGCGTCGCTTCTGGAGCAATTCGACAAAAATCTGTTTCCGAAATCATCTCAGACAAGGCGGCTCACAAGTCGATCCTCACACCTCGTTCGAGCAACCTGTCGGCTTCCACCAGTCCTCCTCGAGCGAGGACTACCCAGCGCAAATCCCAGCAAGTCTCGACTATTGTGTTTGCAAAGAAGACCCCAACGCGAGCATCGAAAGCCCTGCAATCATATAATGAGGACTATGCCTCTCTTCAGGGTGCTTCGGAAGATTCCAGTCGAGATTACCTGGAGGGACTGTTCAAATACCAGGCTCATCACCCTCCGCGGTCTGTACCCTTACAGGACCTTGTTGCATCTGCAAGAAAGACGGTGTCGACAGCAGGAGCACTTGCAATGATTCGTGAACATCAAGACTACAAAATCCTCAAGAGAGTGTATCAGCTACAAAACGCCAACCGGTGGTCTTTACGACAACTTCAAAAGGCAGCCGAACCCGAACGTCCCTTTACCCACCAAGACCAGCTGCTCCTCGAAATGAAGTGGATGCAGACGGATTTCAAAGAAGAAAGGAAATGGAAGAAGGCTCTTGCTGCTACGTTTGCAGAGTGGTGTGCTGAGTACGTGAGTTGCTCACCGGAAGAGAGAGCAAGCCTACGGGTCAATGCATACATCCCGAAGACTGCAAGGCGCACAAGCAACGACGAAGATATGAATGATGCCCCCACGCCAGACCTCGTCCATTCTAGTACGCATGAGACAGAGAGTGAGTCTTATGGCGACGATGATGATGTTCTCACACCCGTCAACGCCAACCCTCCTGCTGGTCTCTTTTCCCTAGGATACAACGATGTCGTCATGAAGATCAATCGCACGCCTGCCAGCGATACCATGTTCCGGGAACTACCGCTTTATGATCCTATGTTCGAGGGCTCCAGCGACACCAATCCATTTTCTTTAACGGAACCCCCTATTCTTCCTGTTTCGAAGTTTGTCACTGGAAAGCTCGTTTCACAAATCCAAGGCCCACCAAAGAAGCGAAGTAGATACGACTACGACTCTGAAGATGAGCCTTCGACACCGCCGAGTCGATGTGGAACCTCAGCAGAACATTCGATGCCATCTACTCCAGGCCGCAGACTGTTCTGCCGCAATGATCTTCCACCAGAGATGACCAATGTTGCATTGTTTAATGCTGAGAACAAGCATGTCCGTGACCGTTTGCAAGCCGCCCACCAGTTCAGGCCGCCAACAGAGTTCAATATGCCTACTGTGTCTTTCTTCGAGAACCGGACTCCGTCGCAGTGGTTATGGGAGGAAGACCAAAAACTGCGAGCGTTGGTCAAGGAGTATACCTTCAACTGGTCTCTGGTCTCTCAGCAACTGTCTTTACCATCGCTGTTTGTATCTGGATCAGGTCGCCGGACACCCTGGGAATGCTTCGAACGTTGGGTGCAGCTTGAGGGACTGCCAGCAGAAATGTCAAAGACACAGTACTTCCGCACCTACCAGGGTCGGTTGGAGCAAGCCAACAAGACTGTGTTTGCTCAGTTCCAGGCCCAACAGCAGCAACAGCAACAACAGGGACAGACACCAGGCCAGCCACGAAGAAGACCCACAACCACGCCGATCAGAGTTGAGAGGAGAAGGGAGAACCGCCATCTCGCCATTATTGATGGCATGCGCAAGTTAGCCAGAAAACGCGAATCTGCTGCCCACAAGCAAGCCGAGTCCCAAAAGGCCGCGGCGCTTCGCAAGGCACACGAACCTGCGCCACCAAAGAACACCGTTCACACGCCTCAAGAGTTCAGTCGTCTCAAGTGGGAACGCGAAGAGAAGCTGAAGCAACGGCAAATGGCGCAGGAGATGATGGCTAGAGTAAGATACCCCTTTTTCGAACGTTTGTACGCTTCTGACACCCCACAGCAACAAATGGCAGCACAACGGCAGCAGGCACAGATGCAGGCACAAGCAGGGATGACGAACGGTGTCAGCAACCAAATGCAACGTAATGGCACGCCTGGGGGCAACAACAATGTTCCTCCACAAATGGCTAATGCGTCTATGCAGCAGGGTCAGAACGGCCCGACAATGGCTGCCAGGGGGCATCAATCCCAGCAGGGCATACCAGCTAATTTCGGAAATGGTAACATGTCTGGTGTCCCCATGGGCACGCCAGGTGTTCCCCAGGCCCAGATGCAGGGTAACATGCAGAACGGACAACGTATGGGCCCGCCGGAACAGATGCGTATGGCAATGCAAAGAGGCCAGTTCAACGCTAACCAACAACATCAATTCCAACTCCAGCAACAACAAATCAACATGGCTACCAATCTGTCCCAGGGCATGGGTATGAACGGCATGCCAAACGCGAACATGATGGCATCCATGCCGAATCAAAACATGAATGGCGCCATGAATGGAACCATGAACAGTGCGATGAATGGAATGTCGAACAACGCCGGATCTCCACGGATCAACCAGGGCAACGGAAACATGCAAACCCCTGCACGTCCCTTATCCAGCGGGCACATGCCTCAACTCCTCCAATTCCAAAATCAACTAAAGGTACAGCATCCGGACTGGACCCCAGAACAAGTCACAAAACAGGCCTCCGACCACCTCTCCCGTTTCCTGGCTAAGCAACGTACACAGGCAATGAACGCAGCAGCTGGATCACCTGGCGTATCACCTGGTCCGCAAATGGCGAACAACCAGTACTTCCAGCAGAATGGTGGCATGGCCAACACTTCTCAGCCAAATGCGGTACAGAACTATCAGCAGCAACTTGTTCAGCAACAGCGGCTGATGGCCAGACAGCAAGCCGGTAGTCCAGGACTGAATGGCCGACCGCCCAGTCGAAGCGCGACGCCGCAAAACCCGCAAATGCAACAGAGTCCGGGCATGCAGCAAGCGCAGATCAACCGGACCTAGGTGTCCCGATTGGCAGTAGGGGCCTCGTGCGAAAACGCCTCCTCATCATTGCCCTGTATATACTTTTAATGTTGCTTGTTTAGCATTGTTCTTCTAAAGCGTGAGAAATCTGTTTCATGGTGCACAGTGGAGGAAATGCCTAGTTGAGAAAGCATGGTGTTATTGGCGTTTGGCGGCGCTATTGCGAATTGTAGAGGCAAGGTGTTTTGGGCAGTGGGACTGTGGACAGGTGAGGAGGAATTGGTCTTTTCCAGCTTTTGCTAGCTACATTGCGCTTCCTGTCAACGAGGCTTGTAGAAAAAGCCCGTAGAACCTTCTGAATATCAAACAACTCGAGCATACTGTCGAGGACAATTATCTTAACCAATGTTTCTTGCCTGGCATTACTGTTTATGTGAAGTATGATTGAGTATGTAACTGATAGAATCATTCATTATTGATTGTATTTCTCTTGGTTTTGTACTATTACGTCTTGATGTTGGGTAGTCTCTTTGAATGAACGTGGTCAAGAACTCGGGCCTTCGTGTGGGGACGCACGTTCACCGTCAGGGCGGTGAGAGAGGGCACAAAGAACATGAAGTGCGGACTAACAACTTCACCTCCGAACATCTCCACCCACAGCCACTACACTCTGTCGCAGTTTTTACCTGTGGTCAACCTACCGTTTCGGACCAGTCGCCTTGCTCAATCCTTTGGATTCAAGTATTTACCACCGCTCGAATAGAGAAGTTTGCCTCTTCGCCGCGCAAGTCCCAGGCAATCGCGTGTACATACACGACCAAGAAGAGTAGATTTAAGAAGACGACACCAGTACCATGAACGCGCCAGACAGGTACGTATCGATGCTTTCTATTTCTGCTTCAATACACACAGTCATCCTCCGTCTGCGCGATCCGCAATCCTGTGCTCCTCGGCGCGGACGATGCACCGCAACGACTATGCGACGTGGATTAACCCCCAGCTCGCGCAAACTCCTGGACAGCGCAAACTCTTGAGCTTACACGACTGGCGCATAACCAATTTACCCTAAACCATACACATATTACGCCAGCACAAAGCTAACCACATCTTCTTTCCCCCAGATTCGAGCTCTTCCTCCTCGACGAAGGCCAAGAAAAAGTCGAGGAAAAGGCGGAAACCCGTACGTCCCTCCCTTCCCCCCCTTCCCTTTCCCCCCATCTAACACCCCCCTCCCAGGCGTCCCCAACACCGCCGTCTTCACCTTCAACAAAGAAGACCACACCCTCGGCAACCTCCTCTCGCAGCGCCTCCTCAAAAACCCCGCCATCATGTTCGCCGCCTACAAAGTGCCGCACCCGCTCTTCGCCACCTTTGAGCTGCGCGTCCAGACTGACGGATCCATTACCCCCAAGGAAGCAGTCATGAAGACGTGCAGGGAGGTCATTGCCGATTTGAGCAAGTTGAATGATAGTTTTCAGACCGAGTGGATTGGAAAGAGGATTGTGAGTGAGGGTGAGGCGGAGAGGGCGATGAGGGAGCAGAATAATTTCTAGAAAAGGGGGAGAGGTGGCATGGAAAGGCGTTTTCTCATGGAAGGTGAATGCTGCGATTCACGATTTATGGCGTTTTTGGCGATGATGGCTTTAGGGGCAATACGAATTTTATCGAAGAATGAAATATATCACCTTGTGCGTATTGTCGAGCTTGCGAAGTGGATTTTGTGATGTGATTGCTGTGAGATTGTGACTCGTGGTTGAGAAAAGGGGAGCGAGTATTACTTGTTGTTAACATTTCGAAGATATCACTCCTAACAGCCAAATGGTCATTTTATCTATGTTTGCGACACATCACGACCAGAAATGTATATCGTGTCCGTTCATGCAGTTTATTTTGTTATGCCTGACATATACTTTTGACCATACTCTCCTGATACCCTGTTCCAGAGGCGAACAAAGAGGAAGGATATAAGTTTATCTACTCCCCATCCTCAAGATCAGACCATCGACCCGATGTAGGTCTAGTCGCCAGAGGCACCTCCTGCTCCGAAGCCACAGTCTTATCCCCTTCACCCACAGCCACAGACTCCGAAGCTTCGGGTGCATCCGTTGGCGTAGCACCCTCGTCCTCCCTTATAATCTCACTGCTAGAACTACTAGTCTTCTCCTTCTGCTCCTCCTCTTCCTCAGCTGCCTCCCAATCTTCAGCCACCTCAACAGGCGTCTCCTTCTTCTTTTTCTTGCTGCTCAGACTCAAGACTGCAAAGCCGCCCTTGTTGCCAAACGGCGTGCTCTTCTGCAACTGTCGGGTAGGAATACCCTTTGATGCTGCGACTTGGCTCCATCCAGATCCAGGTCCGACGTCGGATTCTTTGCGGAGAACTGTCAGAGTCGAGTCAAGGCGTGCGAGCTGGATTTTGCCAATGCTTTGCGCGTTGAGAGCTTGGGATAGCGGTGCTCGGATGGATTCGAGCATAGCTTGCATGTCGGGTTCTGGGATGCTAAGACGTGCTGCTAGAGGCGGCTTCAATGCAACTGACTCGTTCAAGAGAAATGTAATTTCCAGTTCGCAGCGGAACGATGTAGTTGCCAGTACACTCTTGATGATAGGAGCGAGTTCCTCTATAGTGAGGGCGAAGCGAGGATTGAGGATAAGGAACGCGTTATATGGATCAGTATTCGTAGTGCTGGCCTTAGGACGTGGCGTTGCAGATGAAGAGGCAGCTGAAGCCGGTGCAGGAGCAATACGCTGTTGGACCTGGCGAGTGCGTGCACATTCTGCAAGTGTTCGCATTGGTGCCATGACAAACTTCGGAGTTTTGAAAATGGCCACATGGCGATGAGGCTCTGGGTCCATACTCTCAGAATCCATGCCAAAGTCCTCTGCAAGTGAGTGTATGAAGGCGCGCTGGTTGCGAGGCATGGGCTTGAAACGGAGGCGTTTCTCCTCCGGATTAGCTGCGAAAAGTCGTAGTTGCTTTTCTTGCGTGGCTGCCCAAGTAGAATTTTGTTGATACATGTTCAACGTGGCATCGGAATAGGGGATATGGTCGTTTTGGTGGGCTGGATCGACGTTGAGAGCAAGTGCTAGAACTCGGTTTCGCTCTAAGCGTGCGCATTCGTCGTCACACTTGAGATTCTTTTTCAGATTACCATCGCTATTCTTTGAAGCGTTACATTTGGCCTCTTGCTTGATTCTCTGGCAATCGCAGGTGACGAAAATTTTGTGTGGGCAAGGCTTCTCCTCTGTACATGGATGTGGAAAATGGCATGGAGCCAAGCAAGGATGACCACAGGTGTTGAGCTCCTTTCCACAGGCCTGAGTGCAAGGCTCTTCACATTCCCCAGGTCGGTGACATTGCTTCTGGCACTTATGTGTGCCGCACTTGAGAGTACGACCACACACCTGGCCACAGCGAACTTCGTTTAGCCAACATGGCTGATTCTTAAGAACACTTTTGCCGCACAAACATGGTTTCGTAGTCAAGAACGCACATTTGGGGCAAGCTTGGTCGTCCTGATGGCAGCTGTGGTCCAGCTGAGGATGGCCACATTCCTTGGGCCGTTCGCACTTGAATCGGCAAGGGGGTGGCTTGGTACCACACGGTAAAGGAGGCTGCAAGACAGTGCGTCCGCAATTGCAACTGAGTTCGTCGAAGATGGCATCACGACATGTTCCGCAAGGGCCTTTGTGACAAAGTTCCTGGCAACGGTGCTCAGGATTGCCGCATTTCAACTGGCGGCCACAACTGCGGGTACAAATATGCTCTGATTCAAAGTTTTCAAGGGGCCGACGAGGAACTGAGTCCAGTGGTCTCGGCTTGCGACGGTTGGATTGCCGCTCGGCAGCCTTTTTCTCGCCAGCACAGCAGCGTTCGCCACACTCGTGTCGTCCACAGTTCAACGAGACACGGCAGACGCGCATACACTGAGGAGGCTCTTCGGTTCCCTGGTGGCATATCGTCTGGGAAGACGTACGGCCGCATCTGCACGAAATGTTGACTTTCTCCAGGCATGGTCGACACTCGCCCTGATGGCAGTGTTGCCGGCATTTATGTCCGCATGCCAGCATCTGCCCACATGGTTTATCGCAGTTAGGTATCGGGTCTTCGCAGGTCTTCCGAGATTCACTTGACATGTCGCGCAGTGCAGTCTTGCCACAAGGGCAGTGGGTGACTACATCTGGAGATCGTGGACAGTGAGGTGCTTCCAGATTCTGTGGATGACACGCCTGTTCGCAAGTGTGCTTTCCACAATCAAAGGAACGACCACACCTGTTAGGGCATTGAAACGAGCCGACCCAGTTCTCTGCCGTACTAGTGCCGTCTGCAGCGACATGCAACTGGCTGCTATTCTTTTCGATTTCTCGGTCATGACACAGAATGTCCTTCTGAACCTGACCACAGTAGCAACGCGCTGGTACCCTCTCTTCACAAGCACCACAAGGACCCTCATGACACGGTCGTTCGCACCGATGCTGTCCGCAAGACATGAGTTCTCCGCAGACGCTACCACAGCTCCAACCGTGCTCGTAATCGGTATCAACGCAACGACGTGTCACTGACTTCTTGCCACAGAAGCAGTGCTGCGTAGGTCCCATCAAACTACAAGGCGGACAGGGCCCAGCGTGGCACGTCGAACCACAGGGATGTGGACAAGGCTTGGGAAGCACTCGTGGTCGTGAGCAAGACTGACCACACGAGAATGGGGGTATACCAGGTGTGGAACGAGGGTCCAGCTCCTTCTCACACCAACAGTGGAAATTCTTTGGCAAAACATCCTTTGGCAAATTGCATCCTGGACAACGCCATTGTCTCGGTGGGGGCGTCTCTCCGTCTTGGGCTTGCTGCCGCGCCGCTGCTGAGCCCTCGTTGGTTGACCATTTCTTGATGCATCCCAGGTGGAATACTGTCCAGCATGTCCTACACGACCAGACGCCCCGCGTTCGTCTCGTAATGTCCTCTGTACAGATGGCGCACTCGTAATGACCGTTGTCGATGTCCTCGTGTGTTCTAGTGGCGATATCGGGGGCCGTCGACTTTGGGGCTTGTGGTTGCTTTTGTTTCGGCGGTCGTGGCTTACGGGTAGGAATCGGTTTGCCTGGTTGAAAGGCAGGTGCGTCTGCTTGTAGCCCTTGGGGCGTCTCTGAGGACACGGATGCAGTGTCATCCTCAACAGTCAACTGTCCACCGAACTGACGGCCACCAGCAGCTATTCGCTGGGGTGGATGCTGTGAGCCACCTCTTCCGCGACCACTGCCTCGTCCTCCACGTCCACCTCTTCCACCCCGGTGTGCCGCTTCCTGTACAGAGGCAGGTACTAGCTCAAAGGTAGGTACTAGCTCAAGTGCAGCATTAGGCTGCGCATGGGCTGCTGGACCATTGCGGCCTCCTCGACCACGGCCCCTGCCGCCTCGACCGCCGCCTCTTTGTGACTGCTGTCCTGGTTGTGCCTGTTGCTGCTCTGGCTGTGCGGGTGTGTCTGTGCTGGCATTCGCATTTGTGTTTCGATTCCGTCCACCTCGTCGCCTTTGTGGTGCTCTTGGGACATTTTCTGGGGCCGACGCCGGCGGCTGGAAAGCAACTGTGGGAGTCGACATATTTTGTGGTTCAGAAGTGATTGCGCTGGTGGTTGACAGAATAGTGATCATACAAAGGCCTCGGGGCGGAAAAGAAAGAAAACTGAGTACAATAGCAAGCTCTGGTATTTGTACGGCCTGCTGAACTGGGAAAGGAAACGAACAAGAAAAAAAGACAGCTTTTGGGGTGTAATGCCGGGGAAGTTTGCAGTGGCGAGCAGTTTATATTGCAGAAACGGCGGGCGCAGGTACGCTAGGATGGCCGTTTCGAGAAGACGCAGCCACCGAGATGAGTCAAGTCGCACTCATTCCTCGGCCAGGCCAGGCCAGGCAGCCAGGCACAACTGCGGCAGTGCGACTCTACAGTATGAACAATCGGGTGGCGCAGTCAGTGTGGATGCGCGTAGCCTTTTGTGGATGGGTGATCGAGGGCGTGTGAATAATTTATGGCGCTTGCCGAATTTCCATTGTCATTTGTTGCATGCATGGGGAGCAAGCGCGTCATAGGGCCTGGCCGCCACTGTGGCTAGTGAGCAGCTGTGGCTGAAAGGTGTGGCTAATGCCGATGCATGGCTGCCGCATCGCGTTTGAGCTTCAGTGAACATCGCGGACAAGCAACCAGACCCCATCAACCCGCCATCCCCCGATATCATCATGGTCAAGACTCTCGCCGGCGCCCTCGCCCTTGCGGCCCTGCCATCGGCCCTCGCATTCCGCAACACGTCGCCATTCTTCCTCTTCTCTACAGCCGAGTACGCCTGCCAACTTCCCGTGCATCCTCACGTCTCCAAGCTAACCACCATGCAGCTTGCTGGTCCCAAACAATGACGCCGCCATCGCTGCATCATCAGACGTCACCGCCGACGTTCTCAAAGCTCTCGAGCACTGCCCCACCAAATCCTACCTCGTTGTTGAGCAGAGGGGCGTCGCCGCTGCCGACTACGCTGATGGCCGCGCTGCACCCCAGCTGAGCAGATACATGGCTGGCAAGCATGCCGAGGTCAAATCGACTGTCGCTATCCCCGACATTGCTGGCAGCGTCGACACGAAAGCCATCACGGAGCACCTTGTGGCCAAGTGCGGAAAGGGCTACGACGATGACGACGTGTGGTTCGAGAGGAAGACATTCGCGGCGCCGCCTACGTCCAAGGCGCTTCGCATCGAGCAGCTCCAATCCGATGGTTTGTTTCCACATGGCTGACATGCAGCGCCAAAACTGACCTGTGTAGATGCGACACTCGAGCAATTCATTGTCAATGACGCCAAGGCTGACGACTACACCGTCATTTACATCACCACACCTCAGACCGAGTCGCAAGCAAAGGAGTCTATCCAACAACAACAATACGAGATGGACATGCCTTTCCCAGACGCTGTCCAGATGGAACTCAAGCGCGACCTCTCCTCCCACGCTAAGCGCGCCAACTCGACCAACAACGGCCTGTTTGAGAGATACCAGTACTTCACACCCGGCATCTTCATGGGCTTTGCTGCCATCGTCCCGCTCTTCCTGATCCTGCTCGTCGGAATCCGAGCCCTTACCAGTCTCGAAGTTTCGTACTTTGCCTTTAGCAAGGAGATGGGTCCTAATGCCCAGAAGAAGCAGTAGACGGTGTCAGACTCGGGAGCGAACTTGTCAGTGTATCTTGTACGATTTGTGCGTTAGTAAGCATGGGCTGCCGGCGTTTGTATGGATTTTGGATTAGTAGGGAAATACCAAGCTTGACACAACTAGTTTTTGCCTTACCCGTTGGATTTGATTGCAACCTCACAGATGTCTAAGCCGTGCATACCGTGTTTCACCATTTACACCGTCGGACAGCATTGCGCGTCGTGCTTCCATTGCTACCACACTTGCTTATGGAGCCATACGACTTGCACAAGGGCGGGCCGTTCGGGAACTCTGAGGTAAGGATCATGTCTAGTCGGTTCCCCAACTTTGCCGAGACTTCATCCCATCCGCACCACTCACAATGACGGTGAGCACTCGTTTCAGGAAAACAACCCTATGTATGACACTGATGTATAAGTGTCGTCCCGCCTAGCGGGGTGCACTTTGGTTTTGCTTGAATTGTGACTTGGATGGCAACTAGGGCATCATCGCGTTGGCTATAACTCGATATCTCTTTGCACACCTTTATTCTTTTAGTCCTCCAGCACTCATCAATCAAGAAATTTTAATCAGGCACCTCATTATGGCTTCAGAAAAACCTATGGATATCATCATTCTGGGGGGTGGTATAGCCGGCCTAACCACTGCTCTTTCTCTCACCAAGTTCGCACCAGCTTCTCAGACACCAAACATCACCATCTACGAGATCCGACCTGAACCCGCAACCATCGGCGGTGCCGTGAACCTGACGCCAAATGCTCTTCGTCTTCTGTCACACCTAGGAGCGCTTGACGAAATCCGTGCCCAGGACTATGGCGCAGAGTGTCTTGCCGTAGAAGTCTTCGACCTATACACCAACGTAAAAATTGCCGAATCGTCTTTCAAAGGCCCCGAAGGAAAAGGATTAGGAAACCCACCCTTTACAGCACTGAGAATAACACGAGGCGAAGCCTTAAAAGGCGTCCTTGCCGCCATCGAAAAGCACTCAAACATCAAGCTCATCTGCGGAAAAAAGACCACCAAAATCGACGAAGACTCCACCAGCGTAAGCATCGAATTCGAAGACGGAGGAAATGCAAGAGCCGACATCCTAATAGGCTGCGATGGCATCCACAGCGTTACCCGCCTCAAGCACGTCGAGCCCGAGCGCAAAGCCATTTACAGCGGCATCTGCAACGCCTTTGGCTTTGCTCCCCGTCGCAAAGACCCCAGCACCGGCACCTTCGAACCCACGCATTTCAGCATCAGCGGCATGAACTTTGGGCGCCGCGGCATGCTCCTAACCTCCTTCCACGACCGCGCCCAAGAAAGCATCTATGTTGGCGCTCTCATGCAAGTACCTGAGATCGCCGACCGCAACGGCTGGAAAGCCGCGGGCGCCGATGCCCAGAAAACACGGGATGAGATGCTAGAACGCTACTCTGGGGCTGCGAATCCGCAGATTGCACATTGGATTGAGGATGCGGAGGGGTTGTTTCTTTGGCCTGTTTTCACGCTTACCAAGGGGGGGAGGTGGGCGACGGAGCGGGTTATGCTTATTGGTGACTCGGCACATGCGATGCCACCGCAGGGAGAATCGACAGGCATTGTTTTTGAAGATGGAGTGTTGTTCTCGAGGTGTTTGGCAAAGTGGATGCAGACGAGACGGGAGGAGGGTGCGCCGGTTAAGGAAGCGTTTGATGCGTATGAGAGTCTGAGGCGTGCGAGGATCGATGTAGCGTTTGATGAGAGTCAGAGTGTGGTGAAGACAGTTCAGGATACGCCGTGGTTGGGGCATAAGATTAAGATGAACGTTGTACCGTGGTATCTTTGGTGGACGAGGGGGTATCGCGAGAAGCATTTTGTGGAGGATGTCACGATGTGTGATATTGGGTATTGAAGGGAATTTGTCATTGGTATTCATGTTTCCCCCCGCCTCTCTACCAACTAAACGCAACATCCGAAATCTGAAGCCAATTCAGTTGTTTAAACCAATCTTTTTTTTGATACACCGATTGTAGGAAGGAGCTTTCCAGGCCTTGGTGCCGTAGAAGCTTTCTTGTTATCTTCTCCTTACTAGGACTCCTGCACCAATTTCAGAGACAAAAATACAGTGTATCTAGCTACTTCAGTGATAACTATGTATATGCCAATACAACCCCTATTCATTCATGTTTTGAATGAGTTAAACGAGTGTTTTATGTGAGAAGTTCGATGGCTAGAGAAAATGCAGAGTTAGTGGAAACCCGAAAATTCCTAGTCTGATGCTACTCGTGTGAGATGCGCAATAAAATCTCCACATAGGATTGCACATTGTTCCATCCCTTGCTTAAACACCCCTCTTCGAGTTACTATTGTTCTCCCGTCCATACCTCGCCACACCATCACTTTGACTTTCAACCTGATTGGCCTTTCTCTTGTTTTCAAGTACTCGGATCAAACATATAATTCTCTCTTCTCTTTCACTCGATCTCTCCATTTTCAACATCAGTGTCTACTCTCTTCACTGTCCGGACTTGTTCGCTATTCACTGGTCTGTATCCGCTACTATGCATCTCCTAACATTCTCCTGAAAATCCTCCTTTTTACGAAACACAATACAACTACTTAAATATCAAAACGCGCCAAAACAACAAAGACCAAAACTCCACCATGCGCCCCTACTTCGACGCTTCGGAACTCCCTTCTTTCCGCACCTTATCAGCCAGCCACGAAACCCGCAGCTTCCACACCTCCACCGCCCTCCAAATAAACTGCGTCCTCGCCCTCTTCTCCACATCCTCGAAGACTCCTACAAAAAAGACCCAACCCCTCCCTCACACCAGCAATTCCTCTGCAAACTCCACTACCTCATCTCGCCCAACTTAAACCCTCCCCCCATCTTCCGCACCTCAGATAATCTTCTCCCCAACCGCCTTCCCAAAATAATCAAAGCAATATATGCCTCCGAGAAAACTGGTCCCCATCCACTTCCACCACGCGCTGCTCCCGAAACTAACCCCGTACTTGGCCAGTTGTGTAGTAAACCACGCGGTTTCGGCTGCATGCGCAATGTACAGGAAGTAGTAGACGAAGTTTTTCGTGTAACGCAGGTACCGCGCCACTGTCGCTGGAAGGACGGTTGAGGAAGGGAGAAGGAAGGAAGGGGTGGGGAGGGCGGCGAGGACCATTACCACGCCGGCGAAGATGATTTTGTTGCGTTGGGGGGCGGGTGGGAAGATGTAGGTGTTGTTGAGAGATTTGGGGGCCATGGTTTGTGTTTAGGTTCTATTGGGCGATTGTTGCGATGGTTTTTGTTGGTGATTGCTGAAGTGAAGTGAGAAAAAAAAAGCTTGGCGCTGTTATTTGGTTGTTGGCGTTTTACGGTTTGAATTGGGAGTGGGAGGAGAAATTTGGTGGAGAAGGGGGTTCGGCTTGATTTACGTGTGCGGATGTTGATGGCGATATTATATTGCGGACTAAAATTGACGGGTGGATGGTGAGGTTTTCTGAGGGTGGTTTGTAATAGGGCGGGGAAGAAATTGGAGATGTAGTACTACCGAGGTTCTGGGGGTTTGCACCTGCATACGAAGCTGGACGAGGGGTTTAGATGGTTTGAGGGGGGTTAATGGCGCGGTCGATTTAGATTGATGTGTTGAATTGGATCTTAGGTATAAATCTTTGGATTTTCTTTGGTATTTTCGTTATTCTTTCGATTAATGGCATGTCTTGTTACCGGCGGCATTGAGAGATCAGCATACTGCCGGCGCTAAGTAGTGGCTGCCTCGTATAACATTCAAGTGGCGCAAGATACTTTTCGGATGATGGCCAGTAGCGATGCTGTCGGCGCCGTAGTCGAAGCTTAGGAATAGTTGCATTGAGGGGCTTGCCGCTTGGTGCTTCATTGGTGGGCAAAGAAACTCAAGCCTGGAGTTCGGTGACTGGTTATCTTTTATTTGTAACGACAAGTGGAATGTCATACGACAAAGAAATACCTTGGATGCGACGAGTCCTGTATGCCAATTTTGGATTATGGTGTGATCAACATGGGATATGCAATGCACCGACACGGGCTGTTCCGATGGAGCGCAGCGCTGATCCCACAGCCGTTCTCCTCCTAAAGCGTATCATTTTTTCTCCACCAGAATAAGGCATGAGGTGAAATAGAGCGGATCTTAGATGAGACATTGAGTGGTATGTAGAGAAAGCCGTCCAACGAACTACTTGCCAAAATACCTTCGAAGCCAGAAGACATAATTCAAGAGATGTCTAAATGAGGCTTCGGTATCTATATTCCAGGACAAATCTCGAGCCAGTCAAGAGAATACAATCCTCTGGATCATAAAATCGTTGTCGCACAAGAGCAACTACCAAGAAACCACTCAAAACCACGAGTCATGTGGACTCACTGGTAGCTCGCTGAAGCAAAAAGGCTACACAACAACCCCAAGAGCCGCAACCTCTCAATAACGCTTACCGAGAAAGAAAACCAGAACCCAGCGCAACCAATAGCAGTAGTAATAGTACCAAAACTCCCTCAAGAAACCCACATCCCAGTAGTAAGTGATTGGTCTAGCCTACGCACATGCACACACTACTACCAAGTCTCCAACCCAACACGTTCAATTTCCTCATGCGGTAAATGCAGCATAACAACCATTGATTCCTGGAACGGCTGCAAACACCATACTAAGGGCCGTAAAAGGGCATGCAAGCATAGCTAGCCAGCTCCCCAAGCGGGCGGGAGGGGGGAAAGGGTACGACGTCATTGGTTTGCTGGGCTAGGGGGTGGAGGGGACCGGTCGGCTGCTGTGGAACGGGGGCGGCGGGCCACCATCTATGCGGCCGGCTTGGAGGGGGTTGTTGGTGCGTAACTAGCATGTGGTGCTAACCGGAGATTGATAGAAGAAAAAATATTGACCCTTGGAAGTGCAGGTCGTGGGTCTGGTGCGAGGAGGGGGGTTGCGGTGCTAACCGCTTGCGTGTGTGGAGGTTGGGGTGGGACTGGGTTTGAATAGGGAGTTTGGCGTGAGAAGGGAGTGTTACTGGAGATGTGTGGGAAAGTTTTTTTTCTGTTGGTCTTTTCAGATGAAGGTTTTGCTTCTTACATGCATGTACGAGAGGAGGGTAGTTGAGGCGGAGCTACGCCGAAGCGTGCAGTTACCATGTGAGTGTGTGTGTGCAACCTTTTTCGAAGGCATTAATACATGACGTTATGTTTTTTTTCCTTTTTTCCTTTACCAAAGCCGACTCCTTCATCTATCTCCTACAGGTCAACATGCATCTTAGTAATAAAACGGAAGGTTTACAACCATCCAACAAGACTTTACTGTAAGTTACATGTGCACAAGTACCATTCCACCCCACATATGACGGGCATAACAAAAGACACACCCTACGGCAAAGCAAGATTCCACGCACACGGCAACACTACGGGCCAAACCCACACATACCCGGTAGATACAAATGCAGATGCATGCGCCCACACCCTCTACGCCGGGCGCCTCCGCAAGCCGCCAGCCTGCGGAAAGCCATTTGCCCGGCCTGCGCGCGCCGGCACGTGCTAATCCAATGCCGCCATCACCCACACACACACAACCGGCAGCCTGCGCCCCCCCACCAACGGCGAGCCCGCCCCATTAGTCTCCTGCACACAATTCACTTTAAACCACAAGTCATGCCGCTCCCCAAGCCCACCCTTCAAAACAGGGAATATCCCCCCAGAGGATACGCCCTGGCTACGCGATACCCACACGGGCTAAGGGTCCGGTGTTGCGCATTGCATATCCTCCTTGCTGGCGGAGGGACCTCGCCGTACGGGCCAATGGCTGTGTGACAACGCCGAGGGTGGGTGCAGGAGAGAGGCGAGGCCAAGAGGAATACGGGGCTGTTCATGGATGATGCCTTGAGGCTCACAGCGATCGATGGGAGTTGTGCAAAATTGCTTGATGGGGAAATATTGGGGGTGGTGGGAGAGAAGGTGGAGCGAGATGTTGGCGAGAAGAATTGATTCATTCGTTTACTTGGGGGTTTTTTTTTGTGTGGATTGCTTTGGAAGAGGTTATGTACATGGAGACATTGCGATTCTGAATATTTACAAGAGAAGGCAGAAGAGATGTTGCGCTTATTGTGTCACACGTTTCTGGACCCGGTCCTTTTCCAACAACACCACTGTTGCCGAATTCCACCATTTCGCAACACAACGGAGATCTAGACGGTGGTGACGTTCTTGCCGTTGAGCACGTCCAAGAAAGCCGTATAGGCGGGCTTCTTCTGGAAGTTGTCGTTCCACAGCAAAGCCGAGCCCTCGCCGTTGAACGTGCCAGGAACCCAAGAGTACTTGTCAGCAATTCCCTAGTACTCGTCAGCATTCCAGTTTCAATCACAAAAAACTCTTCTCTTTTACCGCGCCCAGAAAAGGCGGATCCGTGTAAAAGAGAAATAGAAAGGCAGGAGGAAAAAGGGAATCAGACGTACCCAAATAGTCATGCCAATACACCTCTGCACATTAATACAGCTCTGCGCGACTCTCGCCCACGCCGCCGCTGCATCCGCAAGTTTCTGGCTGTTACTCGGGTTCTTTGATCGGATATCCAACTCGGTGTACGCAACATCGACATTCAAATCAGCGTAATCCTGCAGCACCTTGGTCAGGACCTGGACGCTGGGCGTCACGTCGCTAGCCGTGTTCGTAGGCTCAGACACCAAGTGGCCCTGCAGACCGACGCCGTCGATGCGGACGCCCCAGGACTGGATCAGCTTGACGATGCGGAGGGCGCCGGCGTGCTTGGCCGTGCCGTACTCGAGGTTGTAGTCGTTGTAGTAGAGCTTTGCGGATGGGTCGGCGGCAGCGGCCATGCGGAAGGCAATGGGCATGTATTGTTCGCCGATGAGGCGGAGGAAGACGTTGTTGCGGTTTGTGCCGTCTTCGTTGAGGGCTGCGTATGTCTGTGTGAGATTTTGTGCAGACGGTCAAAGTTGTTGGGGGTTGAAAGGGAGAAAAGATGGAAGTTACCTTCGTTGACTACATCCCAGTGAGTGCACTTGCCACGGTATCGGCCCATTACCTGCTTGATGTGGTTCTCCATCACGCTCATGAGCGTAGCGTTGTTGTTGATCTGGTTGACCCAGTTTGGGAGCTGGCTGTACCAGACCAGCGTGTGGCATCGCATTTGCTTGCCATTCTGCGTGGCAAAGTTTGCAATGGCATCGGCATTGCCCCAGTTAAATTGGTTGCGGTTGGGCTCAGTAGCATCCCACTTCATAGCGTTCTCAGGCGTGATGGAGCCGAATTCCGAGCTGCGGATGATGTTTTGCTCCGTATTGTCGTTGCGGATGGTCAATGAGGTGCCGATGTAAGAGCGGCCTCGAGCACGGAAAGCAGCATCGAGAGCGTTGGCTGTTTGCCTGACTGAAAGAGGTGTGCTAGAGGCAACACTGGCGAGCGCCAGGGCGGTGGTAAGAATTGAGAAATGCATCGTTGACTGAAACTCGGTGAAGTTCTGTCCTTTCACTTTGTGGCATCGTTTTCCTATTTATACAAACGTACTCATCACACATGATGGTGGGCGAACTCTTGGTTTCTAGTAACTCTTCATCTACACGTTACCCGACTCGATCTGAATAACCGTCTTGTCATGAATACGAGAGTGGAGTTCCCCATATGACCGTTTTACATAACGGCGATCACAGTGCTTAGACTAGGTGTGGATACACCATGTCTCCAATCGTATTTTGCCCAGCCAGTCACCCTTATTTAGACCCATAAATCCCCAGAGTCAGGAGAATTGAGCCAACTGTAACCACTGTCTACAGCTCTTAAGATTGCCACGTATAACGCAGACCCGAAAATATAGCTGTGCTAAAGACAGGGACGCGTTCTGGTTGGCATGGAAGACGTTCGACAACTTTCTGTTATTGGTTGGGCAATTATGATTGCAGGCATCGTGTAAGTGTGAGTATATGGGGTAGTGTGTTTTGCATCGGGCAAGGCGTCACATGGGTCTTTTCGGACATATTAAAAGATGCGTCTGAAAAACAACCGATGGGCTTGGTATCCAACTCATAGTAGTGCGGGGAAAGGGCAAAGCTTTAGCCCTGGCTTTTAGCCTCTTTATCCGCTGCTATCTCGCCCAGCACCATAGCCGTACGTCTGCAAGGAACCGTTATGGAAAACAACAGCGAAAGGCTTGTTTGCAACCCTGCTAGCTTTTTACGCCTTGGATTTGGGGCAAACCATCAGGCCTTGAAGACTGGCTACACCGCCAGTAACCGTATATTTACCGAGCTGTTTGATGTCAAAGTCGAACCGGCGGATAATCTTCATCAGTTAGTATTCGTATATGTGAGGCATCATCTGCCTTGCAACGTACCTCTGGCAGCAATTTATGCGACTCCAGTATTGCCACGTCTTTACCCAGGCAAACCCGTGGTCCTGTCCCAAATGTAAATTGAACTGCTTCCATGTCGAAACTCCTTTGCTGGCTTTCTAGCCACCTCTCTGGTTTAAATTCGTTGGCGTCTTCTCCGTAGAATTCCTTGTTTCGCTGAATCGTGTACGCAAAGTTCGTAACGTCAGTACCGCCGGGCACAAAGTGGCCGTCGATGACTTTCCCACCCTTTGGAACTTCTCTGGAGAACAGGTTAACGGCTGGAGGCCCAAGACGTAGACTCTCCTTGATAATTGCTCCAAAGTACGGGAGACGCTGCTTCATCTCATCGTAACGGATTGGCGTGGAAAGAAGGCCCTTTGAATCAGCTGCTTCAATCTCTGCTTGTGCTCTTGCTAGGACCGAAGGGTTGGTGAGCATGAACTGAAGCGTCATACCCATTGCTGTGCCCGTCGTGTCAGCTCCAGCTAGGATAAGCAGTGTGACATGACTGAGCTTCTGAAGTGGGGTCAATGGAGAGCCATCCGAGAAGCGAGCCTCTAGGCAGCTAATTATGCTTAGTAGGCTGCTCTATACGCAATCTTCATATACGACTTACTGTTGCAAGAAGTCTGGCTTTCCCTGGAATTTCTCCTCGGCAATCAGCTTCTCACGAGCAGCCACCTGCCTTTCTGCCTCTCCCATAAGCCAGCCCATTCCTGCCTCGTCAGCGGTAGATGGAAGAAGCAGTTTCCCCATAATAGGAAGAGGCAACAGCTTCTCTCGGAGAAACTTGAATCTTCCTGTGAAGCCGAAGATGGGAAGACCCTTGCGAAAGTTTCCAATCAATCCCCTCTCATCGCGCTGGTTTTTGATGCTGCCAAAGGGCTCCGAGAACGATATCATGCCGAGAATGTCAGCTGCAAACTCGGTCATCTTGTCGGATAAACATATGATGCTTTTGGCCTCGGCATGTTCATGCAGCTTGGTGATAAAGAGTGTAATGAGTTCGTCGAAGCGTGACTCCCATGCGTTCTTCAGCGGACCAATAGTCCACGGACCATTCGACAAAGCTTTTCGCAACGCGCGATGTTCTTCGCCGTCTACAATCGAGACCAGGTTCGGGGGGCCTTCGGTACGCAAAGTTAATACGTGAATGGTGTATGGTTCACACCTACACTAACCTAGTGCTCCGGATTGATAGACTCCACCCTTGATATTCATCTGGTTATCTCGATAGATGTCTTTCATCGAAGATGGTCGGCAGAAGAGGAGCACATAAGGAGATATGCGAATAGGGTGTTCCGCTGTGGTATGTTAGACCTTTGTTACCGTGTGGGACCTGGGAGTCACCTTACTTCCGTACACTTTTTCAAGATGCGCAATCCACTCGGGTTCCTTGCGAAGAATCGAGATCATGGCACCCACGATAGAGAATGAAGTCGCATACCATGGCCCATGGAACTTCGAAAGGGGATGGAGCTTTTGCATGTAGAAGATGCGCCATAGTGTTGCTGTAACCATTATCCCAAGCGATAAAAGCCCAAGGTTGAGCGGGTTTCCAGCGAACTCCGCCAACGCTAACATCGCCATGTTTGTTGAGATGTAGATATTTAGAGTTCAGAAGTGCCTTCAGGTACTATTTCGGTGTTCCTGGGGTTTCTGAGTGAGATCAAGAATCAAACGCAGCTTGAACTTATAATCTGGGTTACTCCTCACTTAAAAGGCGCACCTACTACTTACACCTGCATATTGTGATTTGTGGATATGGATATCTTTTCCCCACAAAGTGCTGATTCAGCTATGTAAGTTGTTCAGTTTCAAGGCCCGCTGCGCACATGTAGACGTCCAGTTGATAGGTCGACTCGCGTCGTACAAGGGGCCTGACATACAGCAACTTGCCAAACTTGGGGACGGAGACTTTCCAAATGGGATATTCCATGCCATCGAGATCCACTTCTGTTTGGCCACATCGGTTAGCATGTTGAACACTGCATCCACCGTCGCTGATTTGCCAGCACCTATACAGGGATTATATGCAAGATATGTGGGAGGATTCCAAAGGTGCGCATCACGCCGGACTGGCCCGTAGCGTTGAGATGTATCCAAGGCTTGGTTCTCTGGTCAGTGAGCGCTTAGACAGCAATGCCGAACATACATGCATATGCGTATTGTCTATCCTGGTGTACGGGTATAGGATGACGACAAATGAACGAATAAAGAGGGTGTAGTAATTTGCCCTGTCAGGAAACATGTGAAGCCACCATCTCGCTGAAGGATCTCAAGGCTGACATTTTGTCGTTTGATTGGATACATCGACATGTGAATGACTGGTTGGGACACGACTTGCTATCATGTGTTGCGATGAATCGTTCGCCAAGTCTCGTTCAGGTCTGTCAGTCCCGGGAGGCGTCCCGAGCTTTAGAGCCTATCAGTCTTTGAAGCCGAGCCGAAGTGGGTATTGCATCATGTTTAACGCGGACTTTTGATAATAGGAGCCAGCACACTTGCCTAGCTTTCGGCCAACCGGGCTTTCGGCTAGAAATGTGCTCAGTTATTCTTGGCTTAGGCTCGTAGGCGCTACAAACACCTCCAGCAGCCTTTGCAGCTACTCCACGTAGTTAGCTACCAATTGAATTCACTCAGTATTATTCATATGCTTGGATGTACCAATGCACTGTACGAATAAACTGATTTATCAAGAACTTCTCTGCTTCTCTCATATCAAGCTTTCTTTTTGAGTGCTGATCTTCCAATTGCGATGCTGCAAATGGACGAACTTCCTAAAAAAAAAATGGAATAGCGACAGATTGTTCTCATTGCCAAGGTGCTCGACTTGCACACTACAATCACTTTTGCCCATTTTCCCTGAATAATTTCTTCCATATTGCTGAGACCGCTACGATGTATTGGTAAATTAACGATACATGAGAATATTCATGTGGGTTTCAATGATCCATGTAGCTCAGCTGTGATATACGAAACAAACGTCCTACTTGCACTGAAGTTCCACAAGAAATTTTGAGTGAATGGATGGAAATTGCAAACAGTACTTGGAGACGGGTTGTCAGAGAGTAAGTAGTATGGTGGAAGAGGCCGGGGGTTCAGTTTCCCAGAAGCGATATCAGCTGCGACATAAGTAATTCAAAGAATGGCGTTTGTTTCTGAAGTGGTACCTCTATTGAATCTCAAAATCAAAGCTGCGCGGTCCGAGTATATTAACTTCATTCCAATTGCTATTTGGCTACAAAGTCGATAATCTTGAACATGTATAGCTTGGTGGCATATTGTGTTTCGGTGAGATATGTGGAACTAGTCGGCTAACTTTAAAACAGGTATGACGCCATCAAAGTTATTCACACGTAGGGTGTATTGGGATAGAAAAGCTCACCTCTATCTCACATTGACATCTACAGTTTCGGCTCCGAAAAGTGGGGTTCCGGGAGAGTAAGCATATAAGCCTTTTACCCCGCAGAGGCATATCTTGTCCTCAAGCTATCCGCTATGACTGAGATCAATCCGCTCGATGTGTTGGCCATAAAGAATGTGGTATCACGTTACTGCCAAGCACTTGACTCGAAAGACTTCGATATGTTAGACAGGGTGTTCGTTCCAGATGTTGACGCGAACTATCCCTTCAACAACAGCATGAAGAGCGTGAGCGAAGTGAAAGACGCTATCAAGAACCGGTATTACTTCGACCCTCTTTGTGATTGTGTAGTATGTCAGGATCTAACTGTCTTAGTCTCGGACCAGTCCGCACACACCATAGCCTTACAACGCAAACCATCACTTTCAGGCCTGATGCGCGCACGGCGCAAGTGGAGACATACTTCCAGGGAGTGCATGTAAGTGATGGTTGAGATATTCTCTCAAAATGCCGATCTGCTGCCTTCAAAACACCTTTCGCTTACAGTTCGTGTACGTAGTTTGGACAGGGCCCACATGAGGGCAAGATGCTGTGCGCATACGGCAAGTATATCGACAACGTGATGCTGCTGAAGGCAGAAAATGATAATCACGAGGGTAAGCATTTCTTCCAAACAAATCAGTATGAACCATGTGCTTATTAACACCCGCGATTCTAGGTGTGCGCGGTGCGAGCGGAATTTGGAGAATCACGAACAGGACGGTGACCTTTACCCAGAGGATTGGTGATGAGAAAATTATGCAGGAGCATTGATTATGATGACAAGATCTTTTTCTCGAAGGGAGAATTACCATCGAAGCTCTCTTGCCTTGGTATCCTGCAAGCGAAGGACGTCGAGGCGTGTTACCTCTCTTAGAAAGTTCGTGTTGACGGCCACGTGCGTGACGACACTGCGCCTTCTCTCTGGTCCTTTCGTCTACAGACAGCTTCTGATAACCACGCACAATACACTCTATACTTGTACCATCGTCATCGTTATCGTCAACCGCGTCACAGTCATACCATCGTTTGATATAACATCATAATCTTACTAACATCAATATCATGGCTCCTAAGAAACGCCCGCTACCATTCAAACCCGTCAGTGCAGGGAAAGCGAACTTCGAAGGGCAAAGAGCTGCCATTCGACAGAATGTGGAGATATTCAAGACCAAGGAGGACCATCACCGTAGGATTTTCAAATATCTCGTGGCGGAGCTATATGCTCGGAGCGAACGCCAGGGAGATGACGAAATCACAGCAGAGCAACATGATATTGTGGAAAGACTCAGAAGCAACGCCAGTGATTTCAACTTGCTCTATGGTGGGGATAGCGACTTTGAAAATGGGAGCGAAGAAATGGTTGATGCTGAGGAAGAAGCATATTTGATATCTCAAAGAGACGAAGTCATTCAGCAAGTCCTCGAGCAGCTCGATAAACCTATAGTCATGCGCGTGGATGTCGAATCATCATCTTCTCCGGAAACAATTATTCTCGAAGAGCCAGAGATCTTGGACACAACCGAAAGTTTCGAGGCACAGTATACGGATGACGAAATGGGGATCATATGTGGCCTTGCCGATTTGACCGGCGCATCATATCATCGAGCTGAGCAGTGTTTATCCGCAACCCACTGGGATCTGGAACTCGCTCTATCATACCTTGAAGAAGACCGACTCGCTTCGAGTACTGGAGGCCTTACAAATGATCAAAGTGATGCCTTTATCAAATTCATTCAGGATAGGCCCGTACAGCATGTATCGGTGGGATCGAGTGATGGTGCAAAAAGACGGGCTCTGGGACCGCAAGAGAGCGTCAACTTGATCGCGGCACTTAGGATCAAGTTGCAGCATGCCAAAGAGCAGATCGCCGCTGGATACCCACAAAACGAGGAGTTTGAACGTGCCGGCAGTAAAATAAGAGTAGAAGAGGTAATTGGGGAAACTGACTCAGGCTTGTCACAGATTGAAGCTGCATACACTGCACCAGCGAACAAGCTAGATACCACAAAGAAAAGAAAACCCAGAATGCGAAAAGGCCTGTCTCACTCTGGCCAACCTCTATGGCTCGATGCTGCAGACAACGTCATTTCCTGCGCCGGCTTCCAAGGCACACCATACCAACAATACCTCCAAATGCGACGCCGTCTCCAAATCCAACATTACGGACACGAAGCCATTCCCTCCGACGACCCTCATCGCGGCATACCGACAAGAGAACGATGTCCACCACCTTTTGTACAAGAAGTATCCGACGACGAAGGAGATGACAATGCCGTTTTCTTCGAAGAAGAAGACCCAACCGACGACATCCAGGCCATCATAGATGTCATTCTCGCCCAAGAAGCAAAGGAAGCACAGGAAGTCGTGAAAAAAGTCAAAGCCGCGTAGCTCGCGCATGTCGAAGCCCTCGATAGAACTGTCAACGACATTTCCGGAACAGGCGATGAAGTAGACTCTGTAATCGGCGATGAGGCAGACTCGGTGATTCGCAGCCTAGAAGGAGACACGCGGGTCAACTCTCCTGTCAGCGGCGATGAAGGCCAAGATGAACTCACCATAACCCCCGCGTTAAGAGATCTATCACAGCCCAAGAAACTCTACATGAGGGTCCGGTTTAACCTCGGCGGTGGCGTCGAAGTCGCGCCGGGTGAGGTGAGCAATGAGGCTGCTGAAACTGAGGAGTTAGAACAGGAGGGGCAATTGGAAGAGGAGGGGCAGGTGGAAGAGACTGAGCAGGTGGAAGAGACAGCAAAGGGGGAAGAAATAGAGCAGGTTGAGGAGGAAGAGGAGGGAGAGAGAGGGAAGCGTGGGATGGGACCGGAACGGGAGAGGACGGCGGATGAGATAGAGAAGAGGAGGAAGTTGTTTGTTTCCGAGGAGGAGGATGCGTGGGATGGAACGTTTAGTGATGAGGAGTTGGATTTGGACGAGGGTATGGACGAGGAGGAAGAAGAGGAAGAAGAGGAGGGAGAGTCAGCTGGTGATACTGAGATCGGGATGGATGATGAAAAGGAGAGTGAGGTCGAGCGAGGTAGGGAAGAGTATCAGGGCGAGGGGCAGGGGGCCGAGAAGAAAGAGAATGAAGGAGAAGTAGGCAAAGAGAAGGAGGATCAGGGCAGAGTCGATGAGTTGATGATGATTTAGTGAGGTCTGTTAGAGACGTGGTTAGCAATAGTCTTAGGGCATCCATTGCGCGAGTCTAGTCATTTTTCTAGACGTGAAATCAAAGGGTTTCATATGAACGTGTATTTTCGTCCGATGCATTGCCTCATCATTGTCACGATAATCACCATGATAGCAGTCCGAAGCACTGGTTCCATTGATGGGTACAGAAAGAGGTAGCTGTATTTGCAAACAATGCACGGGTATTGACTACGTATCGGTAGTGAATCATCAAAAAAGAATCTATACAGGGGGAGACCGCGCCAGTAATGTAGGTATGTTTGGAACAAGAGCCATAGGATAAGGCTCTAATTGCGTCTCGTCTGTCGTCCCAATGTCCTCCATTTCTTCAACCTGAGAGCATATTCCTGTGCATAGTGAAATCCATTCCTATACGCAAGTCGTCTCTCAACAGAGCCCCTTACTCGCTGTCCATGAACTCAACCATGACACTTGCGCCCTTAAGACCAGCAGCTTCGACCGTTTCGTCCAGATGCTCGATAAGGTTCTTGCCCATGAAAGAAAGATCAAACTCGGCGCCTTGCTTGCCCTCCCAGGGTACATCAGACTTGATCCATTCGTACACGCGGCGTACAGGATCTGCGAGGTTGAATCGGCGGACAATGGGTCGACCTGATGGGCCTCGGAACTGGATGCGTGTGGTTACCTTTGGGTCGGTAACTGTAGGCTCTGTGTGAGGAGCTTGTGCGGAAATGGCGGCAAAGGCTGGATTTGACGGAGCAGCCTCTGGCTCTGGCTCTGGTGCAGCTTCTTCGGCCTTGCCCTTGCCCTTGATGTTGTCGGTCGATTTAGTGAGAGCATCCGGATCGTCTTCCTGTGGGCCTTTGCCATTCTCCAAGCTGTTTTGCAGTGCCATCTCTAACATCTCCTCCTCAGTCATGCGGTTGACGTCCTTTTTCTTCGACTCTGACTTTCGCTTCGCCACTGGGTTCTTCGCATTGACATTCAAGCTGTAGCGGTCGAGGAACTCGTGAAGCTGGGCGTGGAACTCGACGGCCTCGGGTATCGGTGGGCCTGACCATACTTTGACCTGTTCACCAGTTCGAGGGTCGACAATGGCGATGTGTGGGTAAGCATCTGAGCTGTCGCGAGCGTGGAAGTAGTAGTTCATGTACTGTTGTCCACGCTGATCGTCCTTTGCGTACTGCAGGAAGATGAAGTTCTCGCGGACAGTCGCTTTGATGTCTTCGTTCTTCCAGATGTCTCTGTTCAGTCGCTGGCAGTCGAAGATTGCAGGATCCTGAATGTTAACGAGGAGCCACTTCTCTTCATCCTTGCCCATGTCGCGTGCCTTCTCCCACGAGCCCTGATACATTATTTCAAATGGTGGCCGGAATAGCTCTGCGAGCATGTTCATCTTAGAAGACTGCTCGGACGCACCTCCCGTTGCGGTCGCGAGTTCTCGTCGCCGCGTGCTCGAATCTGTGCTAGCGTCCCAGACGTTCGTGTGGGTTGTGTGTTGGTTGAAGATACCAGCGCGGCCTAAATTTGAATGGGTCAGTCAATTGTGAAAGTGGCATGCGAGAAGTGCGGCATACCAGTTCGGCGACGAGCCAGCTGTTCTTGCACTAGAGCATCTATGTCCTCCTCTTCGTCGGCAGGGCCCCAATTGGAGCCAGGACCGACCAGGGTCTCTGTCGTCCGTTGCATAGGCGCGCGAACTTCGTCGACACCAGCTCCTCCAGGTCCACCACCGCCGTACATCTCCTCTTGTAACCGCCGCGCCATGGCCTCGTCGTCCTCAACACCAGGTTGACTTCTTGAAGGCTGGTTTGTGCCCGAAGGAGTGGCATCGAAGTCCATGTCATCGTCGGAATCGATATTTATAGGATTCTGTGCGGTGGCGGCTGGGGCAGGTTGTGATGGTGCGGATGGAGTGAAGTCGAGCCCCGGGGCATCGAAGAAGAGTTGTATAGCCTGCTCAAAGTTGCCATCGGTCAAACGCAGATACTGCGAAGCCTTTTCAGGATCACACGAAGTGATGCTGCAGAAATTGAGCACGGATTCCTCATCCATCTTGGGCGCGTGTTTGCGTTTTGCTCGCCAGTGATTACGTCTAACGAGAAGTACCGGGCGTAGGGCCGTGTGTCTGAGCGTCTGGCGCAATAAACGAAATGCTTTGCGAGTACGGAAAGCTATTCCGCGGAGGCTGCTTGGGTCTGGAGTGTGAGGTTACAAAGGAGGGCGCTGAGAAATTCCGTGTGGCGGTTGCGATTGAGGTGCAAGTAAACCGTGGCGGGGCAGAGTACTATGTACCTTTCAAACTTTCTGATCAACAATAACCGGACACCCTGTTCCCACGCAAAGGGGTGATAATGTACAAGTAAAGGAGATCCTTCGATAAGAGCGGATGCACTGCACAAGGTGAGGTTTGTGTGCGGTGCGTGTCGATATGACTGCTGGGCGGATGGTGACAGGCACAAGCTCGGCTTGTTTGGCTGTTCCGGTACACAGAAACCGTCGCGGGGCAAACTGTCACCAAAGGAGGCGAATTGCAGTTCTGGATGTGGTTGTAGGAGGGAATTAGAGTAAGAGACGTCGACTGTAAGAGAATCACGTCGAAGACGCGGTGCGTTTGTCCACAACTAATGCAGGCAGCGGCGAGTGCGTCATTCGGGGCCCCGTGCGGCAGACCCCTGTCGCCTCACTGGTGAATGTCCGATACACGACATGTGGCAATCACCGCGAATACACTACGCCCCTCTTGGCCTCTATCCCCGTCGGGTCGTCCGTCTTTCTCGCCAGCCGACAGGACACGTCCTCCGTTTCTGCCTGTCGTCTTTGCCATATTTAGGCCTCTGGTTTGATCGCCAAAAAAGCCATTTGCGTCTGCATCACCACTACCACACGCCAGCCGATTTTCAACATGGCGGCAGAGCTAACTCCAGAAGCCAAAGAGCTTTCGCTGGTGGGAAAGGTTGAGATGCGCATAGCACTTGCCAGCTCAGACAAGAAACTTGAAGACTTGCTCAAGACCTATCTTCCACCGCTGCTATTGAAGCTCGGGTCGGAAAGTGCTGCTGTGCGCAATAAGGTAAGAGACTTGATCATGAACACATTCTGTGGCCCCTGTTTCCCTTGGTCGCCGCTGATAGCGGGTTTCCTAGGTCATTTCCATTTGCCAACACATCAATACGCGCATCAAATCACAGTACGCATCTCTTGTTCAATATAATCGCCGAGATCTTTCAGCTGACACAATCATACAGAGATATCAAGCTCCCAGTGAGTGCTCTTCTAAAGCAGTACAAAGAACATGGGCATGTCGCCCTCATTCGGCATTTCGACATCCTGTACATTCAACAGGGCATATCGCGTCTTTCCGTAGCTGAACGGCTGGAACTTCTCCCGGTATTACTTCAAGGTATCGCCAAGGATTACGAGAAATCTGAACAACATACCTCTCAACTGTTTCATCTTATTCTGCGCCTTTTGGTCCTCTTCAAATTACCTCTCCGAGGTAGTAAAGAAGACGACGAGCTGAGAGCCAAATTGGGTCTCTCCGATGATGACGCGCAATTTTTATCCAAGTGGTTTGGAAAACTACTTTTGTTGACTATTGTTCGAACAAGCAACCCGCAAGATACCGCATCTTTAAAGTGTCCTGGGCTTTCGTCTGAAGAATACAAGTTCCTTACACTTCAAGGAAAGCCAGATGCTTGGGATCCTAGTGCAGATGCCGGTCTGAATCTGCCTGAATCAAAAGCCTTAGTTGCGCGACTCATGGCAAGTGGGTTGTTCAATGATGACGAAAAGTTCTTGCCGGCACTATTTGCATCTGCTGATACCAACTCCCGGATATCTGAGGTTGGCGAGGATACTTTGAAGCGCGTCATGTTATCCAAAGATATGGAACAACCGGAACTTGTAGAGAGTTTATTCGAACTCTACTTCGGCTCTAGTTCAGCTGGCGGGTCGCTTCCCGTAAAGACACCGTTGCGCATCAAGATCTTAACTGTGCTCTCCAAGTCTGTGAAATGCACAACGTACCCACGACAAATAGCAAGGATTGTTGAAGAAGGCCTCCTCTCGCCCGAGTTGAATGCGACCAACAAAACCGCTGGAAGAGAAGCTTCGAAGTTCCGCTCAGCTATATTTTCTCTTGTCAACTTTGTCGCCCGACATGGAGCAGTATCGGATTTATCTCAAGTTGCTGAGAGTCTTGTTGGAAATCTGAGGGCTTTCATTCAAGACCAAGGCTGGCCAACCCCAGACCGCGACCAAGATATGGAGCTTCGGGGCTACGGCTATGAAACTATTGGACTCTTGGCCAAAGCTGCCCCAGAAAAAATACTATTGGAGCCATCGCTTGATCTTCTGGAGTTTCTGTTTCGATCATTACGTGAAGATTCAGCTGGCAAAGATGTGGCGGTTAGTATAGAAGAGGCCCTTTCTTCTGTGCTTGGAGCGTTCTCAAAACCGTTCGATGCTTCAATTATGCCCAGGTTCAGACAGATACTGCTCCGATATGCTACTATAGATCAGGAAAATACACCAGCCTCGGACAGATTCACGAGAAGTACTCGTTATGTCGCCACACGTTTCGCGAATCGCTGCCTTCCCTACGCAGACGTCCTTGCGCGATGGATAGATATCCTTGCTGTTAGCGGGGGTCCAAACGATCGACACGAATTGATAGAGGAAGGAAGGCGAGGCCTTGACCCCTATTGGTTCAGAATGTCCAACACTCCACCAGGTGAGCGCGAGCAGACCAAATTGGTTTTTCCAGACTTTGACAAACTGGTCAACTTTGTCATTGCGCAACAAGGGCAAGATGCCGACGCGATGGAAATCGACCCGTCAGAAGACCCTCTTGTCCAAGTTAGATACTTCCAACAAGAATTCCCAAGTACCCTCCCGACCGTCATCAGCTTTTGCTCTAGCGTCGCTATGCAATCTGCTTTGGTTGAGAAAGGTATAGATCAGGATATCCCAGAAGATTGGGAGAGAAAGCTTGATACGCAGATGACTACAGATATGCGCGCTCGGCAAGCATTTCGGGCATACGCAGCAAACGACGCCCACGCCCGCTCTCTGGCAGTGTTATTGCGCGCTAGCTTCGATAGGCTCACACGAGACGATGTCAGCGACATTGGAGATATAGGCACCACGTTTGTGCGAATACTTTCCTTGCTCCCACAGAAACATTGGGTGCAAGCAAAGGTTGTTCAGGACTTCCGTGAACTGCGACGATCTATCATGTCAAATAATCCAGCACGGCGTCTTGCTGCTGCGCACGCATACGGCCTGTTAGCGTCACATGAGAGTGCTGATCAAACTGCACTACAAAGTGAGCAAGTCGCCTTCTTTGAAAAGTTGGACACTTGGAAGACAGCGATTGGTGCTGATATCAATCAAATCAGTGGCATTATCCTGGCACTCGGTTACTACTACAGTAGAAGATTTTGGAGGGAGAACGCCGCATCCCCAGTCATCACGGATGATCATCCTGTCCATCAGCTGGTTCGCTCCCTGGTTGCCATCATGCAGGAGTCTCGAGATGCGACACTGAAGAATGCAGCCTTTAGTTGCATCGATCAGCTTAGTCTCTTCTACGTGATCACCCCATCACTGCTTTCTAAACACGCCAAAGTTGAAGATATCGCCCAGCATATTTATGACTCTGCTAAGACAGGCACCACCAGTGCGATACTGGCATTGGGTCATTTGTCTATGATCACTGAGGAAGCAGAGCCCGGCTCGGATGATGCATCCGATTACAAGGCCATACAAGACAAATTGTACGAGCTTCATGAGGTGCGTCAACCAGAGGTTCACTTCTCGGTAGGCGAGGCGTTGAGCTGTCTCGCAAGCGGCTGGGAATCGAAAGCTTTGACTGCCGAGCTAGATGTCTTGGATCCGAACCAGCCCGTAGAGCCATGGGATGCACCCCTCAAAACGCCATCTGGACCCAAACGGGAAAAGACACTTGGAGTGGTACTGGAAAAGACCTTGAAGGGCTGTGTGCAGACGAAACCATCCCTCAAGAAAGCGTCGGTGATATGGTTACTGTGTCTACTCCAGTACTGCGGACACAAGCCTGAGATGCAGGGTTATCTTGGGCAATGCCAGGTCGCATTCAAAAACTGTCTTTCTGACCGCGATGAGATTGTACAAGAGGCGGCCTCGCGAGGACTTGGATTGGTCTATGAAAAGGGAGACCGGCAGCTGAAGGATGACCTTGTCCGTGACTTGGTCGGTTCATTTTCAGACAACAAGTCGAAGATGGCGGGTACCGTCACAGATGACACGCAGCTCTTCGAGCCCGGCGCATTACCCACTGGCGACGGCTCTATTACAACCTACAAGGATATCTTGAACTTGGCAGCCGAAGTGGGTGACTCGAGCTTGGTTTACCGCTTCATGTCTATGGCTTCAAACAATTCCATCTGGTCTAGTCGAGCTGCGTTTGGACGATTTGGACTAAGCAACATTTTCTCGGACTCAAGCGTCGATGGCTACCTTGCATCAAATCCGAAACTATACCCGAAGCTCTATCGATATAGGTATGAACTGTGAGAGACAACTATGAAGAAGTGCTGCTGACCAATATCTAGGTTCGATCCCAACACTAATGTGCAACGTTCGATGAACGACATCTGGAATGCCCTTGTCAAGGACTCTTCGGCAACGATAGACAAGCATTTTGATGCAATCATGGACGATCTTCTTGTCAGCATCCTCACAAAAGAGTGGCGAGTTCGCCAGGCTTCTTGTGCAGCCATTGCAGATCTGGTACAAGGACGCAGTATTGACAAGGTGAGCATTCATATCTATTGTGGTGCCTAAGCTAACAATATTTTGCAGTACGAGAAGTACCTTGACGCCATCTGGGAAAAGACATTCAAGGTCCTGGACGATATCAAAGAAACGGTCCGTGTGGCTGCAGCGTCCCTTGCTCGTGTCCTTACTGGTATTTTAACCCGCTCTTTGGAAGCCGGAGATTCATCATTGAAGTCTGCGACCGTTCAGCTTGAGCGTGTCATACCTTTCCTCTTTTCAAACTCCGGTCTGGAGTCGTCGGCTGAGGAAGTTCGTCTCTTCTCCGTACACACTCTCCTTCAAATTGTGAAGAAGAGCAACGCAAAGACACTCAATCCACATGTACCTGAACTAGTCGAGCGCCTACTCGGCTTGCTCAGCAGTCTGGAACCAGAAGCAGTCAACTACGTTCATCTCAACGCCAGCAAATACAACCTTACAGAGCAAAAAATTGACGACATGCGCCTCGCCAGCGTACGCCAGTCGCCATTGACAGAATCTGTAGAGCGCTGTCTCGACCTTGCAGATGCAGACACTATGGCTGCACTAGTCCCACGTATCGAAGCCGCCATGAAGAACGCAGTCGGTCTTCCATCAAAAGTAGGATGCTCACGAGTACTCGTCACACTCGCCACTCGCCATCGCTTCCTTTTCAACCCCTACGCCGACGGATTCCTCAAGCTAATCCAGAAGCAAATCCACGACCGCAACGAAACAGTCAGCTCGTCGTACGCAGCAGCAGCAGGTTATCTCGCACGCCTAGCATCCGACAAGCAAATTCTCTCCACCTTCGCCTTCGTCAACAAACTCTACTTCGAGTCTGAGGAAAACAGCGACAGAAACCGTTTACTAGCCGCAGACATAATGCGCGCCATAAGCACCCACGCAACCGATCGCTTCAACTCTTTCGCCGCAGACTTCCTGCCTTTCATCTTCCTCGCTAAACACGACTCGGAAGAGCAAATTCGTAAGAGCTTCGGCGAAACATGGGACGACCATGTCGCTGGACCCCGCGCTGTAGCTTTGTACCTAAAGGAAATCCTCGCACTTTCAGACACGCATCTCGAGAGTCGACAGTGGGCTATCAAGCACACGGCTGCCAAGACGGTCGCGGATTGCGTGCTGCAAATTACGAATGCGGTTGGTAGCGAAAAGATTGATGCTGCGACTGCGAAGACGATCTGGCCTGTGTTGGATAAGGCACTCAGTGGGAAGAGTTGGGATGGCAAGGAAGTTGTGCTTGAGGCTTTTGTGCGATTTGTAGAGCGTTCCGAAGCGTACTGGATGGATGCAGGGAACAAGGATGTTGCGAAGCAGCTCGAAAAGGTAGCTACGCGGGAGAGTAAGAGACAGGAGGGCAAGAATGAGAAGGTCGTTGCTGGGGTTTTGGAGAAGCTAAGAGGACATTTGGGGGTTTAGTAGCATGTTGTTGATTCATTGTTGTAAACACCCCTTTCTTCTTTGTATCTAGAAATACATACAATTTTGGGGATTTTCGAGGCATAGAATTGTTCAAGCCCCCTTATCCTGCTTCAACGCCTCCTCCAACGCCCGATCCGCACTTACTTCCTTCTCGGCCCCGTCAATCACTCTTCTCAAGCCCTTTGCGCACGCCGCTAACTTCTCTCGCTCATCATCGTCCAGCTCGATCGGCATCGCGCGTATAATGCCTTTTCTACCTATCACCGCCGGCATGCTAAGACAGCAGCCTAGATCTGGCTGGTAGAATGACAGTGGGCGCACGGAACGTGAGTCGAATAAGATGTACTTGCAGATGCTAGCGGCGATGTTGCCGATGCCGAAAGCGGTGCAGCCTTTTGCAGCGATGATGGTACCCGCCGCACCGCGTGTGTGGTCTGAGATGCTGGCTTTGAATTCTTCAGTTAGGGTTGAGGGGGGAAGGGCGAGGGCGAGAGGTGTTGTGCCGATTGTGGCGGAGGACCAGGCGATCTGTTGGAAGTTAGTATCGTTTTATATCCTAGCATCCTTTTCGCTTCCAAAAAATCTAGTACTCGTTCTTGTAACCGGGTAAGGGACGTGATGGTGATGATTGAGTAGTTTTTTGCTTTTGATAGTGGCCAAAGTAAGAAAGAAGAAGAAGAATGAAGAAACTCACAAACTGACTATCCCCATGCTCCCCCAGAACATACGCATCAATACTATTCGGCGCGACCTCCGCCTTCTCCGCCAGCACTCCCCTTAACCTCGCCGAATCTAGACTCGTCCCCGTCCCCAACACCTGGCTCTCAGGCAACCCACTCATCTTCCTCGCAAAATACGTCAGAATATCCACGGGATTCGCCACAAGCAGCAGAATCGTATGCGGATTCATCGGTGCCATGGCGCCAAATATGCTTTCTAAGATGTGCAGGTTGCGACTCAAGAGTGAGAGGCGCGATTCACCGGTCTTCTGCTTGGCGCCAGCGGTAATGACGACAATATCTGCTTGCCCGGCTTCGGCGTGCGTGGCGGCACGCACGCGGACGCCGCTGCCGCCGCGGTAGGTGGCGTCGGAGAGGTCACGGACTTGGGCTTCGAGGAGGGATTGCTTGAGGTCTACGAGGAGGACTTCGGAGCAGATGGGTTGCAGGATGAGGGTGTAGGCGAGGGTGGAGCCTACGTCGCCGCAGCCGAGGATGGCGATTGTGGTTTTGAGTTTGGGTTGGGTCATTGTTTTATCGTCTCTTTTTGGATGTTGAGTTGGTGTTGTTGATGGTCGTGGTGCTCTTTATTGGTTTGGAGTAGGAATTGGCAAGAGGCCTGTAGTGGTTGTGGGAAAAAGCAAATATACGTTGTTTTTCTAGGTCCGGGTATGGCAGGTAAAAGGGATATAAGCAAGAAGAGCGAGGGAAAGAATCTGAATGTTATATACACTTCCCGTAGGTAGGCTCGTGTAGTCGTCCGTTGTTCTACGTTGCCAAGAGCTAGGCATGCGAAATGTGGCGTGATGCCACCCTGCAGATGGCAGGCTCAGCCACTTAACATGCGCTTCATCCCACTTTATTAGTTGAACAACGGTATTCAATGACAAACCTATTGACAAATTGCAAATGTTTCCAGATATATGATGTACCGCGGACCTACCGTGGCAGTACTTAGTAGTGTTACTACTCTGTTGGTCCGTGGACCGCTAAACTTGGTTCATCTCTCGACATAATATCACTTAACAGGAACAATCGAACCTCACATAATTATCCCTTTCTCTGCATTGGCTATACGCAAAGACTGATGTTCATCACATGATTTAGCCCTAGTCAGGAATAAGGATCTTGGTATCCTAGTTAGCCTTGACCTGAAGGATGAAAGGAGTGGTATTTAAAGCTGATTGAGGTGAATTACAATGGAGCAGTTTGTGAAAAAGACAGCGAAGATACAGGGATGAACTTGGGGCCGCATAACACTTAATAAGTCAACTTCTGGGCAATCTGATGGAAGGTGAGTAAAGAAAAGAAAAGGAATCCCCTACTTGTGCCCTTCCAGTTAGATCACCTGATACTTTCCTGCACCCAGATATCCACAGGTTAGTATCGATCGCTGCCTTAGCAACTTCCTCATTCCGATCCTTCATTGTTGTGCTCCTAGAAAGCAAGTTTGATGCTTACCTAAATGGACAATGTCGCGGTCGTGCAAATCCGCAATACCTTCCAAGATGGCTTTGAGAATTTCTTTTCGAGCTCGTAGCGATGCCTGACCTTGAACCTGATTTATGAGGTCTTTATCTAGGTATTCGTACACGAGTATGGGTCGATCTGGTATGGTATCTACTGGCAGTCGTACGCGAGGAGTGTGAGGAAGCCTCGGTCGGATTTCCTCGTTGAAGCCCGAAATCATGTTTTTAGGTATGTCCTTCAGTATGAAGTTTTCATTCCTGGACCTTTAGAGGCATTAGTTATCAGAGCAAGTACGATATGGGAGGTGGCTCCAACGACGCTAGCCAAACGCGACCAACATGTGGTCTTTCCTGAATCAGCTTTTTGAATATGTAAGATCGCCCAGTTGAGCCAACTAGATTGAGCGACCTTGAGGCTGCCATTTCAATGTATGCCTGGTGTATGTTCCGCCCGCCGCAGCTGAAGGGGCGATGAACGTAGGAAAAGACTTGACAGCAAAGATGGGCTTGGCATCACGTGTGGGTATAGCCAGTTCAGGCGTTTGTCAACCGTCAATGTGACATTCACTATTGATGAGTGCTGACCAACTAAGACGTGGTCTATTTCCTTAGCTCACGTATCTGGAGAAGGGTAAGGAAGCAATAAGTGAAACGAAGACCTTTGCGCTGCACTAGGGATCGAAACTGTTTGTTTTCCTTTTATCTTTTCTTAGAATGGAAGGCGTGTGGCGGCTTATATGAATCGATTCCCAGATGGGCACTGGTAACAATTTTACTCTTTCTACAATATAGAGCAGGCACGACTGAATCTGTTGTGAGACGCTGGTGTTGTGTATAGCTTCGGAAGATGCACATGAAGCGACTGCAGGAATTATTGCTCGTCCAAGTAGATATTTCTGAGCGATTAGACTTCTGCATTTTTTCTGACTCCGAAGTGTGCGTTCGAGCTAGACTTCACAGTGAAAAGCATCCAGTGTGGGCCACAAAAGGTTACATTCACCATTTGAAAAATCTTTGTCTCGTTGTTTTTGCCACCAAATTGAACAGAATCCGGTTGGCTTGCGGCGGGGTTTCATCATGCGGCCCTTTGTCTCAAACTTCACAGCGTCATTCACGCTTAGATCATCTTGTGAGGAAGAAATCTTGCTTTTCTATTCCAGTTCCTATACAATATCATACCGCTCTACTGATCATTATGCAGTTTGGCCCTCGCGAGTAAGATTGTCGATAGATCAAAGGCACGCCCACGACACGAATTTGTAACATTCTTAATATCACAGTCGGGCAAGCCCAATACACAAGCATGGTCAGCTTCAAGAAGATCATGGATTCCTCAACAAAAAATGACAGCAATATCAAGCAAAACACGCCAAACACCAAGTGGTCAGATGAAGGCGACAATGCGACAAGAAAACAAGCAAATCATGAAACTTGTGAGAAGCAGATTACAAACTCATCATTCAACTGTGGTAATCAAGAGGAATTTTATTTCCATGATCTAGAAATTCTTACTCCCGCTATGGAGAAGCGACAAGGTAGAAGTGAGGAGGAAAAAGCCTGGGACAGTTCTATGCCACGGTATTACTCTGTAAAGAACATATATAACTCTGGGCCAGAAGGCGAAAACCAACCCACATGGGCAACATGGAAAATGCATGAACAAGAGCATAGGGAATACACTCTTTATCGGCTAACTGATCAGGACGTATCAAGCCTGTATCCAGTATCTCCGGCATCTGACCATACACTACGTTCACATCGGCATGCAGTAGTTTTTCCGGTATCCCTACCAGGAACAGCTCATAAACAGCATGAGGAAAATGAAAATGAAACCATGAACACGCTTACAAGAAGAGACTCTGGGGTTGTACATTCCTACGCGGGATTACCAATATCCATTGAAAAAGCTATTAATACGAACAAGCCACTACCTCCAGTACCACGTATTAAACCAGCATCAAGGCCGGGTCCGAAGGCAGGTGTTCCTTCTTCACCTCGCCCCATCACATGCCCCCAGAATATCAAGACTTTGTCCAAGAAACTCAAGTCCAAGACTGACCAGAGTTCTCCGCGGTGGAAGGGACTTCACTTGACAGTTCCCCAAGTAACCCTCAAATCCAAGATTTCATTCCCAGGCCTACTCACAGCTTCCAAAAACGGCTCAATTAAAAACATTGCTGTAGAATGCGACGGCATTAGCAGCTCTGCAAATGTTGTCTCCCTCCCAATCAAGCACACCAACGCCCTTCTAGGCCCATATCCATCTGAAACCACATCCAGTGCAAAGCCCAATGTAGAGAAAACACTCTCACTACCTTTGCACGTTCCAGCGTATGGTCCCACATATTCGATCAACGCCGCGGATATGAAGGCAAACATAAAACCCGTGGTGGTACGTGACCATGCACCCCCAATACACTGGCGAGATGCTTTTGTCGAATCTGTATTTGAAGCTAGTGAGTTTATTAAGCAGAGTGCGAGGGAGAAGCTCGATGGAGTTATGTGTGTAAGTCGACGAAGAAAGAATTCGGATGCTAGCTTTATGTGTCAGGGTGTAGGGAATGAAGGGCTTGATACGTGGAGCTAGTGCCAAAAAAACCAGCATCGTTGCTACCTGGCTATTTATTTTGATTCAAAGACTATTAAGTCTCATAAACCTGGCTGGACGTCGTCGCAAGTTTAAGCTTGCGACTCTCCCTATGAAAAACTCAGATCGCCACCTGTTGCTTCGCACACATCAAACCCGAGAACGGAAACTCGGAATTGCTTGAAGTGAGAGATTAATAATTGCATACCACCCAATCAATGTGCGAATCTGAAATCCAACCTCTTCATACCCTCATCTTTTGTCGATAACAAATAATCTTGCTGCTCCTCCTTTGTCATCGCATTCCATTTCCTGTCTCTGACTTTATTCCTCCAGATGTAGAATAGCTTCACCAAGTAGAACAAAATGATGTTGAAGGAGCAAATCGCAAGCAATATCTTGTTGCCGCGTCGATACAGTGGCTTATCATCATCGCGGTAGATGTTCGTTGCGATGATGTTTCCTGATTGGACAAACATGTTGTAAAGAGCAGCAGAAACAGCGCGGGTCCGGACTGCATTGCTGTTCTTGGCGTTCCAGCCCACAAGGATAGCGTGGCAATATGGATAGCTTAGGAGTCCAGTAAGCAGTGCGTATCGAATCCAAGGACTGGCGCTTGCAGGCAAAGTTACTAAGCCAACCAGCCACGGGAAAATCCAGATGTTACTAATACTGCTGATGATGGCTCGCTCCTTTACTCTCTCGGAAAGCCAGGTAAGGATGAGCAGTTGCACGGCAAACAGGAATTGCGACGGAATGGTGAGCAAGTTGGCTTTAAAGACGGAAAAGCCGAGCTGTCGCAGGATGTACGAGAGATATGTGTTCGGCGGAGCAGGAGGAATGTATGCCGTCAAGCCAATAATGTAGAGCGGCCACTGTTCCCAATCGAAGCAGGATTTCAAAAGATGGCCGATGCCAACGGCTTGACGGTTGTTCATGTCACCTTTGGAAGGGCTACTAGAGTCAGCACTGTAGCAAAGGTACGTATTATGCCACTTACTCATCACGGAGGACTCTGTTGACGAGAATGTATTCCTCATGATCAGTGAACCATCCGTTCTTGCCTCGGAACCAGTGCTTCGTTTGAGTGGGACCAGGAGGCATTAAACCCCAGGACAGCAAACCAATGAAGCAGGTGATGACGCCCTCGATAAGAAACCTAGCATACCACTCAGCATCGGCTCTCACAATTAGATCTAGTAACATACAAATATTGCCACCCTGACCAGCCGTTGATTCCTCGCATTTGCAGGACACCAGCTGCAATCAATGATCCAGCAATTTGGCAAGTACTAAGAGCGGTCCAGAAGAAAGCCAGACGCTTCGGGAGTTCATTGGATTTCTAGGGTAATGTTAGAATACGTCTATCGAGTGACACCAATCGTACACGTACGAAGTAGTAAGTAAGCCATAGCACGATGTCGGGGATAAAGCCACCCATTGCTAATCCTAGCAATCCACGGATTACATAGTATACCGCTTTTGACTTCATTGCTGCCTGAGATGCGCTGACAATTGACCACGCGCAGATGATGAAAGGAATCCATCGATCGGCGCCGATTGCCTTACTAATGAGGCCACTCGGAAGCTCCGCTGCAAGGAACGAAGCGAGGAATATCTATATAGCATTAGAATTACGATTAAATAGATGGAAAATGTGATAGATACCGTTTGTCCATAATTGAAGTCATTAGTGGTCATGTCTGGAACAAAGTAAGCTACTTGCGGTGCGTTTCTCTCATTCTCTCACTTACTCAATTCTTCCAACTACAAGCATTATTAGCTAGGTGATTTTAATTGGATGAGTAGAAAGCAAGCTTACCATGTTGTCGGAGATAGCGCGATTGATATTTTTCCTGTTCAAGTCCAGTGCGCAAAACATCAGCCAAGCCCAGAACGTAATCCTGAAATCGAGCTGCCAAGGCGTCAGCGTTTTATTTCCTGACTCTCATGAGTTGTCCTTGCTTACTTTACGGACGAGGCGCTTCTCCTCTTCAGATGTCCACTTGTAGTTTGGATCAAATCGATGTCGGTTCTCGTATTTGTTTCGCTCGTAGACTTCTCGCCAATGCTCTGCAACAACGGGATCACTGAAGACATGGTTGTCGCCATTGTCTCCGTATGGCTCCTCAATGTCCCTGGAATCCGCATCTGAAGATCCCGAATCAGTGTGTTTGGGCACGGGTACCTGCTTCTTGCCGTCACCTAGTTCCGCCATCGTGCCCGTTGGCTAAGAAAAAGTAACCAAAAAGAGATGCAGCTGAATACAATTGACAAACAGAAATCAGGGTTCTGGGACTCACATCTGGTGTCTCCGAGCATCTCCGGGGCACTGTATTTAACCTACACGAAAACATTTCTCTTCAAGACGCCGCCACGATGTCGCAACATCAACAGGAATTGACAACATGTTCGAGCGATCCAGACGTATCACTTTGCCGAAGCTACAATCGGCCAAGGAGCGCCGGAAAAGTGTACCCAAGTGACACAAGAAGGACTGTGATTGGGCATCGTCGTTCTTATCTGTGAATCTACTGCCTTCAGAACCGAGATCTGCCATTCAGTGACAGTCATGGCGTCACGCACGGCTCGGCAGCAGTCTGGCAGCTCAAGAGACGCCGGTGCTATGGGGTCGGTGGCTTCAATACCGAACTAAACCCTCCATATGTATACCCTACACTGTAACCACCACAATCTGCTAGCCACTCAAGGTAACCCCCCGAGATAGCGCAATGCAGGACCACAATTGTGGGATACAAGCTGGACATGTTTTCCTGGATGGGCTTGATTAGAGTCTTCATTAGTTGCTGGAAGGCGGCGTTATTGATGGGGGTGTGGTGTTCACGTCAATTTCTCAAGAATGGCGTCAGGAAACCCCATGCACGCCAAGGCTAACGCGTATTCCCGCATACAGGGGACCAACCCCACAACACAACACGAGGGGCGAGTACCGACTTCACTGTTCGTATTTTTGAGAAGTTGGTTGAAATGCTTCTGCGTATGTATCTAGAGATGATGATTGGCGGACCCCAGTACCGGCATCCAGGTAACTGACGCAGAAAGCACGTGGTGATTATATACATGTTGAGATCTCACGGTATAGATTGTACCGGATGTCATGGATGTTCTACTTGGCAACGGCATTTCTGTTTATCTCCGGGATGATCGGTGGACACCTTTGACGAAAGCGAAAGTATTCTCTTTTCCGAACGCACGGTACTCATCGCGTATACATACATACCTGTAAGGAGCCCCACAATCAGACCCATCATCAACTCGAGCTGTTTTTTTCCTTCAATTTCCTCGTTTTGAAAACTTCACACCTAGTTATTCTCCTCCCAATTTATAATGAAGAAGAGTAAGGCAATGTATGTATGAGGATATACATTTCTGAGACAGTGGATATCTCGCTCTCTGCGTTGAAATAATGGGATCAAAGCAGCGTTTGCCAGCATACCCATGTCAAAAAAATGAAGACAGCTACTTCCATGACGCATATATAACATATTGCATGATTTTCCGTACTATAATGGTTGTTACCTGTCAGTCCAGCTTGCATCGTGACCACGGTGCTTACACCTGAATAGTCGCGTGAAGAGTATTATAGAGACTGACGTATGATTACTTTTATTACGCTTCGTGAGGCTAGATAGTTCTTTTAGTTTACTCGGATAAACGAATTCTCAATCCATGAGCCCTACGCGTATGAAGAGAAAGCTTAACAGTACCTGTGTTTCTTTTTGTTGATCCTATCAAAACTTGGGATGATGAATTAAACATAACCACAAATGATGGTCCACACGATCTGGTGGGGCTCCCATGGGTCAGCCGACAGATATTGCGAATAACAAACTTCACAAAGTCAGCTAGTATAGCTTGAGAAGGCTTGTGATTCCACTCCTCATCAGATAGTATGACTGAGTCTTCTGTTAAATCACCTTACTGATAATCGACATGCGCTAGTGAATGAGTACTCCCTACCACGAGGTATGGTAAGGATATGGTAGTGGTCGCGCGGGCAGCGGGTAGGGGCATGGTAGGGTTGCCAAGCGTTGGGTAGAGGTAAAGTAGAGTCTTACATAAGTCCAACCCCTACCCTACCTCTACCCAACGCTTGGCAACCCTACCATGCCCCTATCCCTACCTATATACTACCTTAAATCGTCAATACATTTCAGTTAATTCAAATCATATTTCATACTGCATTCAAACCATGATGTTCAATCTATAAAAAGTTGTCAAATTCTTCTCACATCTTGGGTGCCCCAAAATTTCACCCTGACCCTTCATTTCATTTCAATCAGCACATTGTCTGCTTTACTCAACCAATGATGTATCCGCTATATGATCAGTATTGATAACGTTGTGGAAGAAAGTAACCTCAATGTTCCACTCTAGTGTCGCTTTCCAAAAGTATGTACAGGCGTTACTTATCGTTCCGCTATCCGTTCAGGAGTGTACGGTATTCAGTGAGGGGTCCAGTACACCACTGAAACAACATTGGCGTTCAAACCAATCAACCTTATTTGATGGCCCCTATATCTCAAACCTAATAAGCATTAAAATCGTTCTCGTATGCTCAAGGCTATCTCCTGGTAAGCAGAACAAGGGTTACTGCTGGACCTGGTGTCTTGAAGGTGAACATGTCGAATTCCTTCTATGACAAAACCACGTTCAATGGTCATGTTCATTCCACGCGACAAGCAGGATAACAATCAAACAAGAAGACACTGATAAGTATTTGTATTAATCCGTATCAAAACCACCTCAACACACCACCTCCAGCCCTCCTTCTCGATGCATCCGTATCGCAAACCCCCATCTCCCCGTCATCATCGCCCCAAACCCGTGCACACTGGCGGATATTTCGTCCCCCTCGGCCACGTCTTCGCACAAAATCCCCATCTGCAGTCCACAATACACTTTGTCGACCAGCAATTCTTGTAGCAGCCACAGTATCCCGCATCGCAGCCCATGACGTATCTGGGGTCGTTGACGTTCCTTGATTCTTGTTGGAGGTGTTGTTCCGGCTGTTCGTGTGCGGTGGGGGCGGTGGAGGCGAGGGTGAGGGAGAGGGCGAGGAAGCGCATTCTTGAAAAATGTAAAAGAGACGGGTTTGGTTGGAGTGGAAGAGAGGTGAAGTTGATAGTAGTGATGGTGATGGTTTGGTAGAGAGGACGTTTAGAGTGAGAGCAAGAATGGGTCCTTATAGTGTTGGGGACTCGAGAGAGTGCATGTCATGAGTTTCTGCTTATTGTTAAACTCGGGTCTTCTGCGATAGTTCATGTTGTTGCGTGATTTTCTCCTTTAGCTAAACTTAAGTACCTATAACCCAAGTGATATACATCTATTCATGTCATCATTCGTGGTTTAAGTATAGGCTGGTAGATGGGGTGAAGGCTATGTAAGGATTTGGGACTTCCCTATAGAAATGGGGTGTCAAATATCTCTATGAACATCAGAGCCGTGAGATTACTTGGTTTTGATTTAGGTAAATATGGAGAAACCATGTCCCTACATTACTCGATGATGATAACACTAGAGTTACGTAAAAGGCCAGCTGCTCTTATAGGAAGATAAACACCCCTCAGATAACTCCGCGATACTATCGCGGAGCTACCATAGAATTCTAGTGTTACCCTTATCCATTGGTACAAGAAGATTCATAGTAGAGCGGTAGTAAAGGTTAGAACTGAACCTATCTACGTAAAACTCGAAGATCTAGAGTATCAATTATGATAGCCAGGCCGGTGATGAGAGCGAATTTGCTGGGCTGGAACAGAACTATTTCAAGTTACGCCGACATTTCCCGGAGAAGCTCGTATAGCTGGTCCACTATCGATACTTCCCCTGCTGCGTGGTAGGTGATACTTGATATCTGTGCTTTTTCGGAGAAACAATCCGATGATGACGCGCTCGGGCAACTTTGGCATGATTTCTCTCGTAATAAGTGTATAAACAGCTGCACAGAGAGTTGTGCACTTCTATTTCAGTCTAGGTGCTGGTATATGAAAACATGGATATAAACCCTAGGAAGTTTAGGCGTGTACTTTGTCAGGGCATTTCAAGGGGACGGGGAACTACTTAGGACTCATGTTATTAAGTTTTTAGCAGAGACTAAGTCTATGGAAATAGAAGGTAGGTATAGGGATATATAGCGCGTCTATTTCTAACTTAGCGTTCTTTCTTACTATTTTGTAAATCCTATATCATATTTAAATTCTGATTAACCAGGTAATTTAGCACGAAATCGCAGACACGCCCTGCAGTTTCAAGAAAGTCCTGATTCCAGCTGCTACCTCGGGCTGCGAGAATTTGACTTAAATAACAAAGTGCTGTCACGTTCGCAGAATAGTGCACCGTCACCACTCATCACGTATATGTTCATATTAACGCTGTTTCATGATACCAAAACCAGTCAGAAATGCTATCGTGGATGCTTAGAGGGAAAGAGGTCTTTCAAGATAGCGATCGTCATCCAAGCTGCCCAGCAATTCTCTCCAAACTTTCACATTCTTTCTAACTCGCGCTTTGACCAGATCAGTGCGGTTAATGAAATAAAGAAATTCAGTTTGCATTCATCCTAGGAATTTTCGGTAAGAAGAAGCTGGGAATGACGCAGCTCTGTCTCAGCATTTGCGGCGATTAGAAAAAGTTTACTACAGCATGACCAAGATATGAGAAAGGCCAAGGTCTATTTTTGGTTTGAGGTTGACAGATGAATATGAGATCAGGGTCGCTGGGTCAAAGCGTCCTTCTTAATGGCTGTGTCGGTGTACGCATTTACCTCATAGCTCTTGAAGTCCCTAGCTCGGACACCTTGTGCGAACAATATGTCGATCTCCTCGAAAGTGCGTCCTTTGGTCTCAGGTAGGCGGAAAAAGGTCCAGATAAAGAAGAGGAATGCAAAGCCACCCCAGAAAAATCCTGTTTTCCCCTTCCAGTTACCAGCTGTTGGGTTGAGCATGTAAGGATTGATGACGTTGCTGATGATCTGCGCGATGTAGTAGACTATGCGGCTGAGGCAAACACTCTTGCTACGTAATCGAGTGGATGATACCTCGGTGATGATGGCGTAGCACATTGGTCCAACGGTGAGATAATAGATCGCGAGCCACCCAACCATCAGACCAGCTTGAGCATAGTTTCCTTGTGATGATCTGCCGTCGCCAGCACTTATAGCGCCGACAGTTACAAGAATCGCGGTAAGTCCACCTAAGCCCCAAAGGTAGATGGTTCGACGGCCGCAGTAGGACATGAGAAACCAGGATGCGATTGTGCCAATTGATGCAATGCCCAGACCACCAATAGACATCTTGAAAGAAATGCTGCTGGGAAGACCGGCCTGAACGAAAAAGTATGTTGGGGTGCCGCCCATGGCTGAGCCGCAGAAGGGCTGAGCGGCAAAAGCCATGCAAGCAATCTCGGTTCGACGCAGGTCTATGCCCTTGAAGCATTGGAAGTAAGACGTATCCTCGCTAAGCGACACTTCCAGCTCGTTTGTACGGACCATCATTGCGACCTTCTGCTTGATTGATTCTAGCTGGGACGGTGAAGAAAGACGTTTCAACATCTTTTCTGCCATTCCAAGGTCGCCTTTACGGACGTAGTGCCACGGTGACTCGGGAGCGAAGAAGAGTACCAGGAAGAGCGGAATGGGCCATACCCACTGAATGGCAAACGGAATGCGATATGCCCATTGGCTGGTACCACCAGAGAATGCCGACTGTACACCTGCAGAGATGAGTTGTCCGAGACCCCAACAGAGATTGACATATACGGCGAGATATCCCCGCAAGGCCAAGGGGCAAACCTCGCTCGCATAGGCAGGTGCCATAGTTGCAAAAACGCCCTGTAAGCATTGGTGAAAGCTTCAAGCTCTCTCGAATGAGCACTTACCCATGGTATACCGCAGAGAAATTGGCCTACAAGTAAAACAGGCAAATTGGGCGCGGAGAACGAGATGGCGATGAAACCACAGATGAAGGCCAAAGAAGTGAGAAGGACCGGGCGGTAGCCATATCTGTGGCAGAAGTGTCCATTGGCAAAAGCACCGATGATAGTCCCACACCCAACAGCGTTACCAAGTCCAGCTTGCCAGGAGGCCGTAATCTGACAGGCTCCGCTAGAATCGCATTGACCGTAACGACGAGCGAAGGCTGGCTGGGCGAAGAACGAGTAGATGAGGACGATGTCGTAGCCTTCCATGATGATACAGGTCGATAATAAGACGGACCACATCACCGATTTGGGGTGAAGGCGGAGGGCTTGCAAAGGTGTAAGATCATGCTCGTCCTCAGCCGCCTGCCTGGCTTGATGAAATCCTTCATCGTGCTCATCATGGATAACTTCGTTCTTAGTTAGAGTAGACATGAGAACACTCAATGTTGTTGAGCGCAACTGTATAGTACAACAGAGAAGATGACCGACTTGAAATCCATGCAAGTAATGATAAGCAGGAGTATATAGTTGCGTTATCGAGGGAGAGTAACATTGCGCAGTCTCGTTCTTCAATCTAACCCCAGGCACCCCACCGGAGCAAAAGCCTGATAATCTGGGGTAAAACCCGTCTGGGGTTACATGTGGAGAAGCAGGGGAGACGTTGGCGAACCAGGTGACACGAGCTACGGAGGGGCCGACCAACCCCGGTGGGCAATCCGCCCAGAGTTTCGCAATACAGTCTCCACTTTTTGGCAGTATGAACTAATGGGATGGCAATTCATTTCGATTACGAGACAATTGTCGGGGATTTCGAGTGCGCAGGAAAAAGATCTCCATGCATTGGGGTTTCGATTACGAAGGAAGTTGGCTTCGAACTTAAACTTTTGTCTGTGTCAGAACAGCGCCTGAATTTAACCTTTATGTTGATCCATCGGTACTAATGGGGAAGAACGCGCACGACCAATATTCTCAGGCCATCGCCAAGCACCAAGGGAAGATGAGAGAGCTCTGGTTCGTGCGATTCCTCTCCGCACGCGACATGGTCTCGAGTATCCCACTCAATGACTTTACATAGCACTCCTCAACACCCCATGTAAACTGTGGCGCTGTATAGTCCGTGTTGCTACACGCTCGTGACCCTGCCAGAAGCAGGCTCCGTCCTTCTCGAAGAATATTGGGGGCAGCTTGGGGATCGAGGATATTGCCAACCCTCGAGATGTTGGGACACATCCTATGGCCAACGCGTACGAACAGCTGTACCAGTTCATCATCCAAGGGTCGGTCCAGGTGGCAGAAGTTTGGCTCTGGAACACCATCTCTGTCGTTGAAAATAGCCTCAGAAACTTCTGGTAGTTGCATGGTCACGCAGAACGACCACAAAGTAAGGGTTGCGATATAAATGGCGTAGGGCTCTTGCACACTGTCTCGACTGTACCTTCGTACATGCCAGTAAAGCGCAGCACAGTGAATCACAGCAAGTCTGGTCTTATATCTATCTTCAACGACCCACTGCATTAACTCATTTCGTGCGCGGTCTAGACATATCCGGCTTTCAGTCTGAGCTCCGTACTGAGTAATATCTGTCAGACTCCTTGCCAAAGATTGAATGCAACCAGTAGGCGTGAGTATTGTGATACGTGCGAGGTGCAGTTGCAAGATTGTGTGGTGTTCAAACCCAGAGGATGTTGCTACTTTGCTGTTGGCATGCCAGTGCAATATGTCCAAGGAGTCGCAAGCACTGTTGCGCCACTTGGAACCTATCTGAGTCGAAGGGAGCCAGTCCGAAGGTGGACGGTTGTGTTGACTGGCGCTTCGATGTTCTGCCATCGCTGAAGGAACCCACGATCTCAGTCGACTTGCCGTCAGCATATCCTTTGTATGGCGGTAGATTGCGTGTATCAGTAGTCCCACACTGAAATCGTTAAGACCCATGGGTAATCTCTTCTCCATATAAAGAACCTCAAGGGCCTCATTCAATGTCATAGATTGGGGAAACCCATGCTCTGGGCGATTCTGCAAGCTGCCCTGCCATATGTCTTCGCATGATGGCAGTTTGGTTCTCACATCATCAATGTTCAACAAAGGTCGAATTCCAAATTCGTACATCATTGAACAGTCGAACAACTG